ACGTCCTTAGGCAAATTATCAAAGCAGCTTATTTTGTCACTAACCTCACTATCCACAAAGACGTGGTTGTCAACGAGCTGATCCGGGCGAGATTCCAAACCTTCCACACCAACCTTTCGAACCATCCTAACCATACTGCCCCTCCACCCATTCCCATCCTGACAACCCGCCACGTCTCCTCAGCCGACGATGGCCTCGGGACCTCCTTGGCACCTAATCATATATATTGAGTGCCAGCAATGGCGGGCTCCTCAAAGCAAGTGTTCTGCCGGTGCAGGGCTAGTGACGTGATACATTAATCATGTACATATTTGTATAGTATACGATCATGTATGGGTAACAAATAAATTTAAACAAACAAGATCCCTCAGTTATGTAAACTGACCATCATTTAAATTTTAAAAACTAACATCAATAAAAACTAAACTTTTTTTATTGTAAAATGTATTTTATAAAGTTGAGATCCCTAAATCATGTAAACTATGCCATGTCACAGTTCTGCTTTGCAAGAAATTGCCAAGCATAATTTTGGTTCAAACCACGACGAAGCAGCCTATGTATCCAGAACATGTTATATACTGGATATCTTTATACATACATAATTTCTATGATACCAGTATATTTTTTTATATATATTTTATCAAAACTATGTCAACCAAGGATGAGACAAAGCATTTAAATTTTTAAATCTAACAGCTCAAATGACGCTTTAACTTCTCTTTTTTTAATCAATTAATAAAATTAAGATCCATGACCTAGGTTATCAAAGTGAAAAATCTGACTATATTAAGAAATGTCGATACTAATAGGCTTCGCCAAATGACAAATAAAGCACATCACCAAGATTTTAAATGCCGTACGCTAACGAAGTAAAGCACACTTCGTTATGTTCCATGTAGAAAATAAATGGACACAAATTCTCTATTGCAGGTAGAAATCAAGTTAGTCCTTTAGCAATGGCTTAGCTCATGATGACTTATGGCAGCCAGATTTGATACAGTGCCAAGACCGTTGAACTACGTACAATTAAAACATAAGAACAAATTACAACATTTATATATGATTGCTAGTTAATATTTTATTTATTTTTTTCACTAAGGTTCGCAACAGACGAGGTCATATCAACCCTCGGGGAGCCGGCGTTTTTGAAAAAAGCCCATTTGTAATTATTTCGGGTTGGAATGCAGAGTCACTGGAATCGAACCCGGGACCTGACAATGATGAGCGCTGTCACCGCCCAAACCGTTGCGGCCACCGACGGATATTTAATATTATTAGCAAACAATATAAATCTTATCAGCTATGTAAAAACTAGTAATAAATATTAAGTTGTACTTATGATAACCATTCTACACTTTTTTTTTAATCCTTTGCTGAGAATATCCTAGCAGTTTGATTTTTACAAGGCATATTTAATATTTTTCAATCTAATCATTAATTGACCTCAATGATTAGACGTCCAACATTTACTGATAGAAATTGATAATACACTAATAAATTAATATTGCCTACCCAAGTGTCAATAAATACAATTACTATCAAGGAAAGTAATTAAGGATTGTAGTAATTAAGACGTGGGATCCTCAGTTTTAATGAAACTCATATCCATGAGTTCTTGTGCCCTACGAGATAAGAAATAAAATGATATTTTATCATTAATTATACTTAAATTATCTAAATATGTATATATAATGTGGGGAATTTAGGGGCCGACAAACAACTGAGGTTATTGCGTGTACCTCTTTTCCTGGTCTTTCAATTTAAAGACATACTTTCAACTATGATTTTATACGTTTGTTCTGCACATGTTTTAAGAGTATTATATATCATCGATTTGTTTTTATGTAGGATAAAATAGTAATAAACAGGATTGCATTAAAATGGTATGAATATAAAAAGTTATGAAAATCAAAGAACTCTTCCAGTGAAGTAGGCAATTTGTCGACAAAAAATAATTCTAATTTTCGAATTTGTTTTAAGCACGATAAAAGCCTTTAATATGAATTTTTTTAGAAAACAAAAAACAGATTTTTATGTTGGACTAGCTAGGAACATTTTTTTGTTATATATAGCGGTGTTCCGCTTAAAACTTCAAAACTCCCCTGAATTTGATCTATCTTAAGGTCTTTACAACAGTTGAAAAGGTATAATTTATCTTCTTTTGTCAATACAAATGAGAAAAATAGAAATATAATGAATAAAAACTCCTAACTTTATTTTATATCTCCGATTGTTATTGACTGCCGGAATGTTATCTGATAATTGTTAGAATCGTCTCAAAATTATTAATATTTTTGTCATTTCCAAAAAAATCGTTGGTAATTGCTGAAGGCGGAAAATTTGAAGTGAAAAAACATGTTTTTGATTTTCCCAAAAATTAGTATAATTTTTGTGTTTTGCTATTGCGGTTATTTTAATACAACGAAATTTCTTATTTAAGAGGTTAAAGCGTGCGTAAAACGAATCCGATTTTTTTTTCAATTTATTGGGTTGTCCGGAAAATAATGCAGGATTTTAAGTTTTCATTAAAAAAAATCTATATAAAATATTCTGTTTACGTTTACAGGATTACTCATTTGTNATTATTTTGATTAAAGAACATTGCTTTAAAGTAACTAGTTTCTTTTTTTTTGTTTAATACCAAAATCCTGCATTATTTTCCGGACAACCCAATATTACATTCTTACATATTTCTTATTATTAAAACTTGATTAACCTAGGTAAAAAAACGAATCAATTGATAAATAATAACCCTGTAATACATGCACGACGAAGCCAGACAAAAACCTATGTAAATTTTATGCAGTTTTATACTTTGCTCTTATGTTTTTGATTGTATTACTTGTCGGATGATCTTGCTGGCACAGCAACAGAATACCTTCTGTCTACTGTGATTGACTATGCAATGGTGAAAAATTGTAATGTCCCTAAACACTTTACTAAATGGCATAGTAAGCTCCAATGGTAAGACCACACTCGGTATATAACAGAAAAGGCTGTCAAGGTAATTGATATTTTAACAAGATATAATATAAATAGATGCGGATTAATAATTCGTGGATTTTATTCAAATTCAATCATTACAACAGTTAGAAAGATTTATTTATTTTCTTTGCTCAATAGCTGGATTTCGTCCGGATCAGGTCAAGATCTTAGCCATCTATTGCTGAATGGCGAACTTGTTTTCTTCGATCAATAAAGATTCCCTAACTATACATTTTCCAGGTTTTGTTTTCTGCTTTTTTCGTTCTTGTTCTTAAAGTAGTAACCCATTATTCATCGAACATCATACCAAGATACTTTGCTTTGTTGAAGACGATTTTTTCCTTGGCTAAGTTCTCTTGTATCAATATTATTTGATTCAGTCAGATCCTTTACAATGCGGTCCAGTTTTGATGATCCGGGTGATCAGACTACAATGATTGATAACATCTCAAGAAACACATCTGATTATGATGGTTATGACTAATGTTAAACATAGTTTAAAAAATTACAACAAATTTTAACATTTATGTCTCATTTATGTTATTACAGTTTAAATGTTTTAATTATTTTTCACTTTCTTGCTATTCAACTAGGGTTGCCCATTGGCAAGAAAGCTCGGGATCTAATATTTTCGACATAGCATCACCAAAAAAACCGGTTGAACATGCCTTTTCAAAAATTAAAGAAAGTGCGAGAACCATATTAAATGATTCGAACAACATCGCAAGTGATATTGGAGTGATCGTCACCTGCAGAGTCAACTCAGTTACAAGTACTGACTGCACCAATTACGTTGTGGAGTTAATGTCAAAACTGCCGGCAGCTGCTGCAGGATGATCTCTACATTAATCGGCATATAAGAATTATAAAATTTAAATACATTTTTGTGGCATTACCAACATTTTAATTACTTTTTTAATTGCCTTTTTATAAAACATCCTAATTTTTGGATTTCATTTGTTTGAATTAAGGTTTCATTTGTTTGGAAAAAAGTATCATTTGCCTGGAAAATGCTATAAATCTGTGATCCCAAATCATCTCCCCTTATAAATCAAATTAACAATAAAAGTAATATAAAAACAAATATATAATTTTAAATTAGTTCTCTATGACTGTCTACCACTGTTTTTGGTTAGCTGAGTTTAATAGACAATAAATTCTGTACAAACTCGCATATTTTGTGGAAAATCTCCTAGATTTACATTGCACTGTCAGGCTAATTCAGATCAGTAATAAAAATTCTGTAAACACATTATTATTGTTTTAAAAAAATTTTAAAACCAGCAAGAAATTAAAATATAAAATTTTTTTAAAAATAAATATTTCACTTTAAATATCTGCTATTGAGTGTTTTAACCAAGTCAGACCATCAAAAAATAAGCGATGACTTTTATTTTTTTATTAATTGGCCCTTAAACGATAACATTATTTTTTCTTAGTATTCAGCATTTATTTGACAAAATTACGATGTTCTAATGTTTGTTATGATAAATTGCATTCCCTGGTCTTCTTGTTAAACATGAAATGTCACTTGGTTCCGTTTTTGGTCCTTTTCTTTGTTTTATGCTTTATCAATGCCCTGCCTGTCATCTCATCTACTCTCTGACCTTACAATTTTACTTATGATGCTGGAGAACTTTTTTGTTTTGTGACTCAGTACGCAAATGGACAAAGAAAAGTCAACATAAAAATAATTTCAGTGCTTCTTGCACAACGCGTATATTTGTAATCTTCGAGTTTTTCAGCAAATCTAAAGTGATAAATGAATAAAATCCGTGATTCGTAACGTTTTGATAGGTAAAATTTGTTAACGAGTAAGAAAAGCTGACAAATGAAAGTGAAAAGATGCCTGACTGCCTTGCTACTCAAAGTCCTTCTCACAGGCGCAAGTTCACGGATAGTTTTTGCCTGCGTAACATTAATCTCCCACGATCTCCTCGGCGTTTGCTCAAGATCCACCGCCGGCAGCATTCACACAAAGTCCCCTCCCACGCCCGTGCTTCGCTACCTATAAAATAGAATCGTGACCTCAGGGAACACTCACAGTTGCCCATTGCGCGTCCAACATGATGAAGGTAAGTCGAAGAAAATAGAAATATAGTGAATATATTAAAATAGAATAGGGTCGTGAAAATCCATCAGTGATCGGTCATGAGTGTTAAGAAGTGCTTTTTCTTTTATGGAAAAATGTTATTCCTAGTGCAGTGTTCGTCCTACACCGAGTGTTATTCTACTTATTATTTTTTTCTGATTTATAGTAATATTTCAGTTGAAACTAAGCATGAGCTTTATCCAGCCAACACACTTTTCAACTTTTTCTGCCTACTAATTTTAAATTTAGCGTTTACACGCAAAAACAATCCTAGCCTTGGTTTCCCTTTTATCATGCAGTTTTGTCTATTAATATTGGGTTGTCCGGAAAATAATGCAGGATTTTGGTATTAAACAAAAAAAAAGAAACTAGTTACTTTAAAGCAATGTTCTTTAATCAAAATAATTTCCCACATTTCTCCCAACGTGTTGGTAACTTATTAATTCCGTCTGAGTAGAATTCAGAATTTTTAGAATTGATAAAGTCAATAAATGCATTTTCCAGTTCCGTTTGATTTTTGAATATTATGTGTTGTAAGTAGTGGTCCAGGTGTCTAAAAAAATGGTAGTCAGTAGGCGAGAGGTCCGGAGAGTAGGGTGGGTGAGGCAAAGTTTCATAGCCAAGCTCCAATAATTTTTGTGACGTTACACGTGACACATGTGGTCGAGCGTTGTCATGCAACAAAATGGGCCCTTTCCGATTGACCAAAGAGGGCTTCATTACTGCCAATTTCTGATGCATGGTATTAATTTGGTTACAGTATGATTCAGCATTGATGGTTTCGCCAGGATTTAAGAAGCTGTAGTGTATTAAACCAAATGAAGCCCACCATACCGTAACCATTACCTTTTTTTGATGAGTTGGGGGCTTTGGAGCTTCTCCTTTGTCGAGCCACTGTCCAGAACGTCTAGTGTTATCGTAGAGAATCCACTTTTCGTCACATGTAACAATTCTGGCCAGAAATGGGTCATTTTTGTTTCGACAAAGAAGTGATGCACAAACATCAAAGCGCTGATTTTTTTGGCGATCGTTTAATGAGTGTGGAACCCAATTTTCGAGTTTTTTCACTTTTCCAATCGCCTTGAGGTGGTCAGCGACGGTCGTTTTACTGACTTTGAGTTGCTCTGCAAGTTCTCGAACAGTTGTTTTGGGGTTTTCTTCCACCACTGATCGCAGAACATCATCATTAAGAGAGGAAGGCCTTCCACGACCTTCTTCATCTTCAAGGCTGAAATCTCCCTCCCGAAATTTTTTAAACCACCTTTGCACAGTGCACTCATTAACACAACCCTCGCCCCAGACTTGGTTAATGTTTCTAGCCGTTTGGGCTCCGCTTCGGCCGAGTTTAAACTCGTAAAAGAAAATCGTACGAAATTCTCGCTTTGACATTATAAGGATGACTGAATTATTTCCAAGTAGCGGAATGCTACAGAGGTAAACAAACAATATCATTTGGAAGAGGATTAATAAGTGTTGACATTCATACAAATGAGTAATCCTGTAAACGTAAACAGAATATTTTATATAGATTTTTTTTAATGAAAACTTAAAATCCTGCATTATTTTCCGGACAACCCAATAAAATCTTTCTAATATTTTTTAACATTAAGCATAGGGATAAGAATAACAGAGGCGGCCACAACGCCTTCTGCACCTCGACCGGAGAAGATCTATTGTGCTGTTTATTTAACGTTGGCACGATAAAGAAAATGTTTGTCTTAAACCTACATCACACCAGACCGCATCTCACGATTTCTGAATAATTATTGTTTATTTAACTTTTGTTTGTTTTTATAACTCTCTGGCCAGCTAAAGGTTACTTATCAACCTCCATAGCCATGCCAGCGGCTCCTTAGTGTAGGATCTCCTTGTAGTTTTGTTCTTTCCTGTCCTAGTTGCAAGAACCTGCACCTACATAGAGCTTCACAGAAACATAAAATATGTTCTGTGGTCTCCTCCTCTTCCTGGCAATATCAGAACATTGTTTCTTCTGCCTGTACTCTTATCCAGTGCATGTGCTTTCTTATATGGCACTGCCTTGTCAGGAACGCAACCGGAATACTGGTTCGGTTGCGGTTGCCTTCCAATATTTCCTTTGTAAGTTTTGTGGATTCTACGAATCTCTTCGGGTGCCTCATGCTTGTGGTATTATTCCACCAGCTTTCGAACTCATTAAGGATCCATTTAAACATTAATCATACTGACTATACATTAACCCTAATAAATTAAAAATAATAACCGAGTTTAAAAATCAATAAACTGTAATTTGCAATCCTTTAATGAAAAGTATATCTACGAATGCCTTGTGGAATTTACCAAAATTGTGAATCACAATATAAAAGCACTTTCCAAATATCTGGAAAACGGGTAAAATTATTGTGATTTTAAAACCCGGTTAAGATGCATCACGTGTCACAACCAATCTCTTGGCTACCTTGTCTAAGTAAAATAGTTTGGAAGGTTGTACTAAAAGAATCAATTTGTATTTAAATGAAAATAACAATATCAAAAAACTAATTTTACCACATCCCAGGTGGACATGTTAACAGATTTAATAACTTAAAACTTTAACTTTGGAAAGAACACCAGTACGGTGAGCATGTGTGGTGTTTAGTGACCGTTAGTCAATGATTATTCGGAGAACGTGAGATGCAATCTGTTGTAGGTTTTAGAAAAATATTTTCTTTATCGTGCCAACGTTTCGATCTTTATTGAGATCATCTTCAGGGCTCAAAGTGCTTGTTTTCCGTGTAGATGTGTGTATCATTCTTGTCTGTCTAATGTTGGGGCACTATCAACACGATAGAGAAGAATGACACATCTACATGGAAAGCAAACACTTTGAGCCCTGAAGATGATCTCAATAAAGATCGAAACGTTGGCACGATAAAGAAAATGTTTTTCTAAAACCTACGTTACACTAGACCGCATCTCACGATCTTCGAATAAGTATGATGAACTTTTTGCAAATGATGGTTCCACTCATAAATTTCGAGCATTAAAGGCGCATCATTAGGTTGAAGTAGTTACAATGTAAAAAAATGTAAAATCTCGACATGAACTGTAAGAGAGAACCCACCGATCCACCGACGACTTGTTCCTATAGGAAGTTGGGTTTTGATGCCGCTCAATTTTGGACGTATGAAAAACATAAATTTCAACACAAATATATAATCCTAATAATACTGTAAGAAAATAATTTTAAATTAGTGATTAATTTTTATGACAAATGTTACTTAGGTAAATGTTTAAAACAGTAGGTATATCAAAATCCATTGTATTATTTATGCATTTATGTCCTTGTTTAATATTACAATTTTGTATTTCAAATTTCTCAAACCAATCTAGCTCCCTCCCATTTTTGAAACTGTGTAACACTATTGTATTTAAATTTAATTTGTGTTTTGTTTCATTCAGATGGTCCTTAAATTCTAAATATTTGTTCGATTTAGGCAAGTGTTCTTTAACTCTCGTTTTAATTACTCTGCAGCTTTGTCCTATTTAATGCTTCAATCAATACAATTAAGATTCTAGACCCCGCTATTTGATAAGTTGTCAACCTTGATTTTAGGTTTTGAGAAGATGTTTCTAAGTGAACACGCACCTCTAAAAGCTACTCTAAAACCTTCTCGTTTAGGAATTTTACCTACTTTTTCTGATAGTTCCCCAATGTCATGGCAAGGAATGAAAACATAAAGATTTTTTGGTTGAGTGGCTGAGTCAAATTGTTGCTTCTTTAAAGTTAATTTTTTCATCCTGTTTACTACCAACCTATCAATAATTTGATATCCATGGTTTTTAGCTAAGGTTTTAATTGTTTGTAATTGTTTTTTATAATTATCAGGTGTTAATGGGAGTTTCAACATACGCCCTATGTGCCAAAGGCCAAAAGCCAAAATTTAGGCGCATTTAGATTCTAAGCTAATTACACTCGTCAAAATAATTGGAATTCTTCATAGGCCCAAGTTTCCATTGCTTTAAAAAAAATCTAGTTATATATTACTAAAAAAATTTAATTTGCTTTCTTTACATAACTAATATGTTCAAAAACTTGTTTAAAAAACTACAATAAATTCCAAGTGGCTCAAAACAAATGTTTGAAATTGGGAAGTTCATCTAGTGTCTGAATGTTACATTTGCATGACTGAAACGTTTTTAGCCTAGCAATAACAACCCTTATCAACATTTAAATAACATTGTGGTCTACACTTCGCTTCAGTAGAAAAACAAATGCATATATAAAGTAATAAATCTATTATTACCAGATCAAATGACAGAAACTGAACATAATCACCCTCTGCTAATAACTCAGATTAATAATATTATATGTTTTTGCACGATTAAAAGAAAGAAAGAAAGGAAACAGGGTTGTTTTATTATATATAGTACTGATCGTTTTGAGTCCCTAGTGATTGAAAGTGAATATATTTATTGGCGTGAATGAGAAGTGTGAGAGGAATCTATGGCGGAATTTTGAGTATCCCGTCGACCCTCAATTAGATTAGCTATAAGTGATAGGTGTAATACGTGATGGAGGAATATCGAGTGCACCACCACCCTAACTGATTTAATTAATTTTGACTTTAGTAACTGATTGCGTTAGGGGCTGAAATGACCTAGCTGTTGCTATTCGTGGAGCCCACTCTCGGCTGGACATATAAGACCGTGATCTGACCCCGGTCTGCCAACACCCGAGGTGGTTGATTCTCGGGGCCTGCCGGTAATTTATTGTAAATTGTAAAAGTTGGAATTGCCGGTGGCCTGCGAAAAGTGATGGCTCAACCCTGTGCAGATTTGAAATGTAAATTTGTAATCAATCAATAATGATATTACAATATTGGACTACTGATATGATATGTTGACAGACCAACCCAGCGAGGACAGGCAGACCAAAATGATCGGTAAATTAAATTGGACTAATCTTCAAAATTCATATCCTTCTGGATTGAACAGAGAATCATACTCTACAAACAAACATCAAGGATTTAAAGTGTTCTTTCAAAATAATTCAGACGAACCTTAACCTCTTTGTCTATTACGATATCAAACTGAAGAAAATTCTAACAATAAGGTCGTAGAAAGTGTAACCCGCAGGAAACAGAAAAATACAAATGAACATTAAATGAGAGGACTAGAACAAAGGAGAGTTAGAAAAAAATTCTATGAACACGACTTATAAAACGATAAATTATTTATGACAATACAAAACGTCCAATTCATTAATTAAATATTAGTTTATTTTTTGAAGATAATAATGTTAAATTTACATCCATACTGATGTGTTATACTTCTGACAGGTGTAAAACTAGGTAGATATTTAAAAATTTCATTTGATGCGCTTTAGAATTTTTAGAATGTATTGCGTAAAGTCGCAATTAGAACAATGTCTTGACTTTACTATTTATTTATTAATTTTTAATCCAAAATGGGCATATATTTTCTTTCTTATTTCATTGCTAGAACTTCATACCGAAAACACCATATAACATCCAAGGCTTGTCAATTCAAGAATACTTGTAAAACAAAGACGTCGAAAAAAGACAATGAAGTCATCTCGGCTTGGCCGATTCCGACATCGTGTTTTCCATTTTCATTTTTATTCTCAGGCACGACAATGGTCGGTTATCGAGAGGTCATCTCGCGTCCTCATGGCAGATCGCCCTTAACACCCTTTTCGAGTTTTTCTCTTATTCATTCCCATTGCCCAAGGGTGTGATGATACCGTCAAACCGTGTCGAAAACAACTGGCCGTCTGATTCTCCTAATTGTGATCTGCAGCCAAGCCCATCTTGTTAATGAAAACAATAGGACGAACCGATTCGAACAATTTTAAATTGTTGTTAAAACTTTAAAAAAATACAACTTAAGGAAGGACTAAAGTCTGCCAAGTTGTCTTTCACAGCTTAAATAAACTATTTATCCATTCAACAAGCCATCAACTAAGAAGTTTACCGTTAAGTTCAAGCATAAATTATTCGCGCAGTTAGTAAATTCTTTTACTATATTTTCTTACAAGTTTGTCTATACTTCCTTGTCACAGCACTTTAAATCAAAATTAGGTACATTTATTTCAGATTTATTACAGTTTCTGAAATCCTCTAAAAAGAATTTGGATGGGTCGAAAAATACAAAAATTGCCAAGGAAAATGACAGAAGGACTCAAAAATCCATTAAAATGCCCAATGCATATCAATAAAACTGACAACTGGCTGACTTTTGAAAAATATTTTTATAGTAAGAAAAGCCCCTTTATTAGAAAAAAAGTGAAGTCTTTACCCAATTTACACACAGACACACACACCCCACAAATAGGTATCACGAAATCATACTCAACTCTATAATTTCAAATAGCACCCCACATTTTATAAAACTATATTTATTTCTCAAAATAATTTCGATTCAAACGAATATGATTGGTTGAAAATTAACTAGTTTAGGTCTGTCTAAAGTGTTACGCAAAAAAGAGAAAAAAATCTTACTCGAGCGTTTGCAATGAAATGAGACTGAGAGACTGAATTTTTAAGACTGAATAAGCTTGATTTTTGCTAATTTGCTAACATATATGTACAGATTGAGCTTATTACTTCTCGTGTTACGTACTTTGAGTTTTCAAAGTCCGATTCACGCTAATAAATACATTCAATCTCAGAACATAAAACGATATATTACTATATTAAATAAAACAGTCTTGTTCTATCAAAAATCGGCCCAACGGGCCCAAGTATTCGCTGGCGTGCTCAATTATAAATGTCATATCGGGAAGAATTTATATTCGATCGATATTCGATATGTGGGACGTATGAAGCAACCTTTCTCACCTTGCCTTAAAAATCAGAATCCGTGTGTCAACCTGGCATGGCCTATTCTTAGTTAGGTGAGTAGGATTCTTCGTCCTTCGACTATTACCATACGTGAGAGCTTCTCCGATCCGGCCGATCGACGCTTTATCGTCAGAAGACCGGATCGTGGTGGTCAGGTCCTGCGGTTAGGACGTCGAGAAGGTCCACGAAGAAAGAATTTTTTTTTTTAATTTATCATCATGAGTTGGCCACGGTTTCTCTTCTTTTTAGCGCTTTTCCATTCCTGAGGGAGACCCTATACGGAGCCCGCCATACTCCAAATTTATTTCAAAGGACACAATTTATAGTTTATGGCAGAACCTCCTATTTCATCAATGGAATTATGAGGAAGAAAAAAAGTTCGTTGGCAGCTTCAGTGAGTCGGTTCATCCGAGAAACTCTTGCGTGCCCAAAGTACGACTGAGTGACAGCCTGCCCAAGGTAAAGAAAAATGCAAAGAAGGGATCTTGCACACCCATTTGAGGATAAACTATCTCTGATGATACATAGTCACCCGCGTTTGGGAGGAAAACCCCTCATAACTTGGTCGAAGAGTCTCATGCCTTGGCCCCCAACAGGACCCGTACAAAGACAGTCCTTTGGCATGAGAATAGGTTGTTGGGTCCCCTGTTCCTTTTTTTAAGAAAACGGGGGTATTTTCCTCCACCATCTGCCCTCATTTGTATTTTCCTTTTCATCTATTAAATAAATAAATATACAGATACATAAATAAAGCATATCTAACAGATATTTAACTACAACAGACGGTAGAAAACAACCCAAATTCCCTAGCAATTTTTTTCAGTTGAATTCAAATAGTATTAATGGACAGTTATTGTGGTTTTGCCCTCTCCAAACTCTACTGACGATTTTTTGCTGTGCATATTTTTGTCCCAAAATTGCGAGGTCGTTGTGTTAAACCCAGAGTTTGGACCTTTCCGAGCGTTTTGGTCTGCCTATAATCGTTGGTTAAGGTCTATCAAACGCGTTTCGGCTTGCCATCTTCAGTGATGGGTTTTTAACCGAAATTATTATTAAAAACTGAATAAGCCGACAAGTAAAAACTGCAAGAATAGACAGACCGAAATGACCCGAGACGACTTCACTGCACTACCACCCTTGTCGTGCTTTTCCAGAACTTCCGGTATATTTTTCAACGTATACACGTCTATCTGTCAGGCATGTTTTATTGCTTACATTCAATTATTCCAGTTATTTGGTTAATCCGATTTTTTTTTAAATCAGAACAATGCTCGGTCCCAATCCGTTCGGACTAGCCTCTACTGTAATGTGTTACCTTCAGATTGAAATATTTGCATCGAATTAAGAATGTGAATGTAACCCGTGTTTAAAACGTTATATTTCTTTCAAACGTCACTTTTATATTATTTTGTTTGCAGAATCATACTAAAAATATATATAACAGGTTATTTCAATGCATTATCCCACGATAAGCACATATTTCAAACCCCTCTTTTGTTCCATTACCTAAAACTAATTCTCATTGTTGCGATTGTTCTCCTCAACGCCTTATTCTCAAACTAAAGGAAGAGAACTTTCCGGACAGCCCCTTTCTTCCAATTTTCACATATGGCGCAACACCCTCGCATCATCTTCCTAGACATAGCATAATAAGCTTTATAATTAGAGGGTGTTATAAACATTTTTGTTTGTTTTCAGGTATTATTTCTTTGCGCTGTAACACTCCACACGGTTTTAGCCGGTTACGTCCACGGACCTGTTTCTCTTGATTACCATGTAAGTAAAACCCTTGATCATATCTAAAGTAGTTGTCCTTATAAAAATAATAAATAAATATTCATGTAATTTCTGTGTAAATCAGGACCCTCATCCCAAGTATGCTTATAACTACGGTGTGGATGATCCCCAGACGGGTGATGTGAAACATCAGTCTGAAGCCAGAGACGGAGATGTAGTCAAAGGTCAATATTCCCTCGTCGAACCCGATGGTTCAGTAAGGACTGTCGATTACACTGCCGATCCCATCAACGGATTCAACGCAGTGGTCACCAAATCCCACCCTGGCGTGCACCCGACAGTCGTCAAGCCTGTCGTCGTCGCGAAACCAGTCGTGCCCGTCGTTCATCCTAAGCCCGTCCTCGGTACGACCGACTCCAACCAACCACGACTACTTGTACTAACGGATTTGATTTATTTTCAGTTGCCAAACCAGTAGAAGTGCAACATCACTACCCGGTCGCTTACGACCACGGCTACGACTACGGTGCAGATCTAGTAGACTACGCGTCTGCGGTGCTCCACAAGGCGTACGTCCAACCCGGCTATGACTACCACTATTACTAAACGGAGAACAACAAACCTTGGTATAAAATATGATTTGGTATTTATACAAGAAGTTACCAAAGTTCATACTGAATGAAATCCTCAATATTTTTTGAATTATAGTTATATTTTTGTACAAAATATACATTTTTTTCATTTTTGATTAGTTTCATTATATTGACATGTAGGACCCCACATGTTTTTAAACATCATCCTCCATTTTCCTAAGTTCAACAATGTATATAGTGTGTTGTGCCTAATATTTTTTTGAACTTTTCTAAGCTAAAATCGTGTGTCTGCGAGTGGATCTACACATAATGTAGATGGTGTAACGAGTTGGTCTGTAGATCTGCGAGTCTCCTGAGTCCGACTGCACTATTTTACAACAATTCTAACTCGCCTGAGCAAGGCGCGTACATCAAAAGCTTTTTACAGATTTTACAGTTACCTTTCATTGACAAGTCCTTGATCTAAATAATCCCAAACTTAAGAATTGCTGGTCGATCATTACATCCTTATTCGTAAGAATTAATATCACAATAATAAGAAAATTGAAATGTTTTAGAAACATTGGAAATCCTGTCGTAATGCAATTTTTTTGTTTTTGAGATGTTGCCTTTAATATTCTTAATGGTTAGGTCCTTGTCATCATTTTCAATAAGATGATATAGCTTTTTTATTAAATAAGTTAGCAAATACTGACAATCTCATGCCTGATAAAAAAATATGGTTTATTGATACAAAACTGCAAGCTGAGGAGATGAAATATTTGATTCATGGTCACGGTGTTTCCACTTCTTGCGCAGTGGCAATATCATAATCAATTAAGTGAGTTTCTTGATCTATATATATGGACTTGTTCACAAACCCCAAGATTTTGGACCATTTTATCTCGGGGAGTGATTTGGTGATGTCCGCTCCTTCAAAGATTTTAAATCTAGACCTTGTATACCTACCACACTCTGTGAGGTAGTGCCTTGCCGTTTCTTCTTTTATTTCGCAAAAAACGGTAAAAGGGATCTGGTAGAATACCCATTACGGAGAGGTGTCTTCTCAGTGGGCAGTGGCCCGTCAGAATACCTATCAGCCTCGTAATTCCCTTCCTTGAAATAGAGAATAGCCATTTCGATTCTGCTGGTTTGATCACCTTAACAAACTCTTTCGATTGCTTGTGTCCGGGGGATAAATTCCACTCCTTAAGGAATTGTTTCATGCCCCAGTTATTAATACTCTCTTTTGCTGTGCTCATAGAGTGAGGTAAATATGTCGAGACAGACCATTATATGACCCAAATGTTCACGGGGCATGGTGATTTTGGGACGTATTTGTGTAAATTCGGCATGGGGAACACGGCGGAGTGCCCTTAGTGCTCTAACGGTTCTGAAGAGACACCAGACCACACTTTTTCGGAGTGCCCGGCTTATTCTGCTGCAAGAAGCAGATGGTTAAGAGAAACGTGCTCCACAGAGTGTGACGTCCGAGCCATAACCAGTGCGATAATGTCAAAGGAAGGATTCGCGGCCACCAAACGCTTTGTGTATCAGGTGATGACAATAAAAGGATGGCCAACACCACCCAACAGTGACGAATAAGTGTCAGTGGAAGTTTTAATCTAAGTATCAGTGAGTGATAAATTAGATTTAATTGTATATATAAACATATTGTAGTTTATTGTATATATAGTATTAGTATGTACGATGGGTGCCCACTCTCTTTCAATCCTGGCTGGGGTTCAGTGTACGGGGAGATTGGGCACCCCTCATTAGCGCGTAAGATATTTGTAAGGTGCGACCCTCACGTCATATCCCGACCAGGCATCTCCCCGTGGTCCATCCTGGGCACGGCTGCAGCCGTGGCTAACGCCTGGTGACGTGAGGGTTGGGCCTTCAGGGGTATATGGTTGCACGACCATCCTGTGTAAGTCCGGAAACGGACATAGGAATAGGCCGATAAACGCAGTATTAGGGCCTTCTTTGGCCAGGCTATCCGCCTCTTCATTGTCATGGTGTCCTTTATGTGCACGTATCCAAATAAGAGTTACCTTGTTCTCAAACCTAAAAGAGATCCTATTGATAAGATATCAGTTTCCTCCACCAGTCTTGAGGTTGACAAATCTTTTTGTAATGACGTAAGACTAGCCTGAATGTCAGAAAAAATTCTAATATCTTTTCTCTTAATTTTATTTTCCATAAGTGTTCTACAACACACATTAATGGCCCAGATTTCCGCCTGAAAAACGGAGGTGTTATTGCCAAGAGGGAGAAGGAGATGCTGATTCCTAATGTAGGTATGTAGATTCCTGCACCCCTCTCTCTACCTTTGATAAGTAAACCATCTGTGTAGCAGTCTAAGTTGCGATGGTCATCATCCAAACTATAATTATATTCACAAGGGGTGACTGCCTGAAAGTACTTTTTCCCCAAAGGACATGATATAGCATAAAAGCATAATAGGTATGTCAAAGAAATGGAAGAAAATAAGGACTAAATCCTAAAGTGACCTTAGATCATACCTTATTGTCAGATCCATGATCACTTATATAAGTTGTATATGGTCATCAAAAATGGAACAAAGAAAGGCAGAGGAACTACAACAAAAAATTCAAAAAATGTCATACCTTAACATCACTGGTGCTACTAAAACAACCCACACAGTTACATGCAATATAATACACTCAAGCTTTTTATAAATATAAACAATAAAACAAAAGGTAAACGTGGAACTCTCCTATGGTAAACAGATGGCTCAAAATTCAGATTGAAAATAGTTTAGGTAGGGGCATAAAGGGGCCTAACTGTGGGCTCCACTACAACTATCTTTCCGGTCGAACAGCTAACCATAGAAACATATGCACTTATAATAAATAGCAAAATCTCAACAGTGCAACAATAAACTCAGATAGCCAGGTAGATCTAAAGTTCTCCAAGCCTATTAACTCAAAATTGGTTTGGAATTGCCTAAATAATCTTTTTAAAAAATTAGAATTGCAAATAGTCTGATGCTTAGGTGGGTCTTAAGTCATGAAGGAATTTCAGGCAACTTGGCAAAAGAATTTTACAGCATACACTACAACTGAGAAAATAATTGTATTCTTGGCTAAGAATACACTACTGGGAGCATAAACCAGGCAAACATAAAGACTACTTGCAGAAACAACCCAATCGAGCAGGAAATCCTACTCAACAGAAACGAATTACAAACTTTAACTGGTATATTTACAGGGCATGTCTAGTAAAATTCCATTTTACAAAAATGGGACTATTGGCAAATAATCAATGTCGATTATGTCTAGAAGTGAACATATCATATGAAACTGCCCCATAATAGCTAGGAAAAGGCTACAGTTCCTTGAAAACCCATTCTTGAGCTAAGTAGTCTTGAAACCATAACCCTGAGAATTATTCATGAAAGAAAATCCATCACCAAAGATCGGTAAAAATAGACAAAATTTAAATGCTAAAAGAAGAAATCCCCACAACTTGAAATAGGAAATCTTCTAAAAAACTTCATTCATGCTTGATCTCAAGAACATTACAAAGTAAAACATTCCTAGACCTTTCACATTCCATTACCTCCTGTACATCTTCAATTCATAAAAGAAATGGCTTTGAGCCTGCAAATTATTAGCCTGGCAGAAAAAAGGATAAAATGATCAAAATAGAAAAAACCTGATGAACTTGAAAAAATGTATCTTTATACATGTACATATACACATTTTAATGGCATTGAAATAAAAATAGATTTTGTCACATGCATTAAAAATGCTATAAAATAAAATTTATAAATAATATTATTACAAATATTGTTCTTCATTTTTACAGTTAATTAAATAAAAGGTCACTCTTATGTTGAAACACTAAAATAAACCTTCATCGTACATAACAATGTCTCTTCTGTGAGGCAAGTCAGGGAGATCGGCCTCGGGGTCAGGTGAAGGCGGAGGGTTGCTCAGTTGATCTTTGACAAGTTTTGTTTTATCCTTCTTATTTCTCTTTTTTTTCTTCGTCTTTGGGAAATTATCTCCTTTGTTTATTTCAAAAATCTCTTCCCTTTGCACCCCGGTGATATCTCTGTCTTCTCTAACTAAGAATATAAATATACCACCCGATGTCCTTTTCCTGTTTCCGCTTAGGATCAGCATCCCCCCATCGCCCTCAATCTCCTTTGTCGCTTCGAACAGTTCAATCGCTTTCACCTTACCGAGCGTCTGTACGATCCTGAGTATGAGAGGACGATTTGGCTCATCAAGTTTCACAGCAATATCACTAGCGATTTCTTCACAAGTGTTTTCTTCGGTGACAGAAAGCGGTTCCAGTTGTTTAGACTGAGCCGATGGATGCAGTACATCGTCTTTAGCACCTTTTGGAATTTTTCGCTTCCTAGGCGCATTTGGTTTCCAATTCCTGACAAGGTAATTTTCAACATTCCTGTCGTTCTCGGGTGTTTCCTCCATGCCGAACCTGTCCAGTACATCAGTAAGGAAATCGTCCGGATCCTTGGACCAGATGTGGTATTTATTTGATTTGCTCTTGGTTGGACGACTGATTTTCATGCGTTTACCAGAAACGTATTCATCATCCGACTCTGAACCGCTGCTTGCATTGATAACACCTTTTTTTTTTACTGGTTCATTATTGTCCTCATCGTCTTCATCCGCATCGATTACAGGCTTGGCCACACAAGCTGGATTCAGCATCGGTGGCCTTTCTAATGGAATGTATGGGTTAATGTCATCGTCGCTCTCATCATTAATTTCCCCATCTTCCAACTGCATTGCCCTGTAATACAACGAAAAAGATCAATTTTCATGACGACTAATGGTTTTAGTCATCCTTGATATGAAAAAAAGGTGTCTTTCTGCCCAGATAAAAAGGTACTACATTCTGAGCGTCACAGAGTCAAATATAAAATGTATGTTGTTTTTCACCAAAGAGTTTATTCTGAATACTCACCCGAACTTGTCGAATCTACAGAAACAGCAGAAAACAATTCACGGGACTTTGTTGCAGACGGGTCTTGGGAGGTTACGAGGTACACCGACCTGCTACAACAAGACCTCGCGCTCGCAGTTGCAATCGAAATCTGCAGTGCCGGCCGTTGACAAATAACACGTACAAGCCGTTTAATTCAAATAACTATTAATTAAACATAATTAATTCATTGTTAAGATTGAAATGTCAAACAGGATCTGAAACTTTATAAATCGTTGAGTGTTTTTCATTCAAAAAATAACAAGAAAATCAGGTAAAAACCTGACATGGACGAGGACATGGTAGTTGATGAAGACTTGGAAGAAAACCAGAAGAAAAGGAAAAGGGACTCCTTTGAGGTGGATCTGCCACAAATCGGATATGTTTATGACGAAGCCCTCGGAAACGAATCTTCCAAGCTGCCCAATGTCTCAGGAAGGGTAATTTGTTTAATTTATAATAAAACATGATTACTGTGAATTACTGGTGCTCCTCGGGTGCAAATAATAAAAATTTGGTTTTAAAACAGTTCAATTGACTTTCTGTCACAAGTTTTAAATTTAATTATATTAGCTTAAATTGCTCTTTAGCCTAACAGCTATGAGGCCTATAACATAGGTACCATATAAGTTGCAAGAGAATTGGATTTATTTATTTATTTATTTTTTAGTAGAAAAAAATCCAGTTACAAATAGATGAATAAAAAGCCTCCAATCTCTCTTATTTTTTTACTCCTGACGTGAAGATCTCAATTAAAATAGGATCATTAGAACAAGATCTAACATCTCCACTTCTCCCCTCTTGACCGAAACCGTTCACACCTGATGAAGCGTACCATAATCATAAGCCATCTAGCATTAATGAAAGCTCCAGGTTTTCACCTAACGACTGCAAATGCCCTTCGACCCCAATAAAAGAATCATCCGGCCTAAAGATCCTCATAATTTTCATTTATACTTCTGTTCAATTTGTCTATTGCGTATAGAAGGCAAAATCTGTAAGGAGGGCTGCTCCAATGTATTCCTAGATGTGAAGCAAGCCTTTGATCTGATAAGGCTGCTCTTGGAATTTAAGAGTACTGATTTTAAAATCCTAGTTAACCGACAGATACTCAAGTCATCAGTGGCTCTATCAATCAACTATCGCACAGATACCGGGGTACTCCAGGGGAAGATCCTTGTAGGTACCAGCAGATTTGCTCGCATAAAGATCCTGTCATCAACCAGAAGCCTGCCGACCCATGTCACATCCCTTGAACAGTGGTTCAAGTGGTAGAAAATGTCAACATACAAAAATATGAATGTCACATTCCTTTTTCCTCTCCCACCAGCTAAGTGGTTCGGTACCTTTGGCATTGATAAATAATATACATGGAACCCACACTTCAGAACTTCTTAAAACTGCTGAGCAAACAATAAAAACTGACTACAGTACAAACAATTCATTTATATCACCATTTTGGCATGCAGGACCGAACTTTCAACCAAAAGTTCAAACCTCCAACATATCCAATCCTTACAATCCAAAATTCTACAAATCATCATAAATGCTGCTTTCTATCATCCAATCTCAAATATATCCTTCAAGTAGCCAAAAACAGATACGACTTATCCAATCCTTACAATCCAAAATCCTCACGACCAACATCAATGCTACTCCCTGTTATATTTAAGTTTGGACAAAGAATTTTGTAATGTGTTAAAGTCTTTTATTGATTCTATAAACTTATTTTCAGATAATCCGCAAAAAGTGAAAAATTGATACGTGGAAAATAATATGAAATATCATTTACAAAGTGTTTAAACAAGAAAGGTTCAACTAATGAACCTTGAGGAACTTCGGAGGGACAGACAGAATACATTTTGGAGATTAGGAATATTAATTTGACAGTTTATTAATTTGACAATTTGCCTTCTGCCTGTTAAATAAGAAGAAAATCATTTAAAGAACAATCTATGGATTCCAAATTAAATAAATTTGTTAATCATTATAACAAAGATTGAAAGCTTTTGCAAAATCAAGATAGCAACAGCAAAAACATCATGTTGTCGTGGGATTATTAAATTTTTTAGCAACTGTGTCTGTTTGATTAAAATAAGCACATCAGCAAGTATCTTGGCCCCTGTTTCAATGGTTTTGTGTCCCTAGTGTGTGCTGAGAGTGAATGTATTTATTGGTGTGAATTTGAAGTGTGAGAATCCGACAGCAGAATACCCTTGGCCATGCTGGGTTAGTTATATAATAGATGTAAAGTGAGATGAAGAAATATTGAGTGAATGGTATGTAAATAAGAAAGAACGAAATTTAAGAGAGAGTGAATGGGGTTGGTTTTAAGAACTGATTGCGTTGGGGGCTGAAATTGCCTAGCTGTTGGTAGTCCCTAGAGCTCAACCTCAGTGGCTGGATGGATAAGACCGAGGTCTGACTGCCAACATCCGAGATGGGTGATTCTCAAGGCTTGCCCGTAATTTATTGTGAATTATAATAGCTGGCATTGCCGGTGGACTGCGAGAAGTGATAGGCTCAACTTTATGCATATTTGAGCTTATATAAATCACTAATCAGTATTTACATACATACTTTGAAATTAACTGCTAGGATTTTTACAGGATGTTTTTTTAACTGTTAACATAGTTCCAAAAATTGTTATTACAGATAAATTGAGAGTGCAATGTTTCAACTTTAAAGACAACTTATAACAAATATTAGTTAGGATTTTGCATTGTATTCTTAACTTAGAAAAGTGAAATCAGTACAATGGTTCATAAGTTTAAACGTTTTATGGTTACAGTTATAAAGAATCTTTTTACAAAATTTTATTACACATACCCAAGACTTTTGATTATGAAATACAACATTTAAATAAGAAATATGCCTTATAATATGAAAATAATAAATGGAAAATTTTATCACATCAGAAAAAATTTAAATTTATTATCTTGAAATATTGACGCTGAACAATTTTTTGAGTAATAACAACTGACTTGTGAGTGGGTATTGTGAGTGAGTCTGTAAATATTGAAGTATTTTTAACAAACCACCTGTGGATGGTAGAAACGAGCAACAAAACACCCCAATTTGGTCAGTAGGAAACAAAATTAAAAGAAGAGAGAAAAAATTTAAATGAAACAAAGAAAAATGCAAGAAGCTTATATATGTGAGGTACTGGCAATGACCTTAATAGTTAGCCGGCAAAAATAAGAAAAAAAACTGACTAATACCAGGGTACAGTTCATTCCCGAAAAACAACATGTTGATATTGTAGGTGGGGCTCAGTGTCCCACTGATGAGGCCAGGCCAGAGCTACTTGAAAAGAGTTACGTGTGTCCAAAGGAGAGCCGGTGAGGGATTTTGGTTGCTTACTTGGGTAGAATCGTCCAGCCTTCACCTCGAACTTACCTGATTTTTCCCTTTTGATAACATTTATAAGCGGGTCAAAAAATATATTTATTGCCATATTACATTTAACCTATTTATTTCCCCACTATTTGACCAAATAATTAATATCATCGAGGGCTAGAACACATAATAAATAAATAAATCCAGTTTGATATGCATCCTTGGCATCCTTTATATACTTAAGCGCTTCCTACCCAACTTTTAGCATCATATCCTGAACCATTATTTAAGGAGCGAACAATTTTGGTCCCATCCCATATACCGTTTATACTGCTGAACTATACATCCCACTACCTATATGAAAGGCAATGAATGACACCTATATTCTGTCTTTTAATCTTATAATCCTATGCAAGGAACCTCAGCATCCAAGAATACCTTGAGCTTATCAAAAACTGGGCAAAAGTTAAGTACAAGATTGATTGAAGAAAATGTGCATTTGTGAAAAAACAGTTTTGCCCTCCACTGTACCTCAACAGCAAGAAACAACTTCCATTCAGTTCAGATATTTATTATTAGACTTAGACAACAAATACGCTTAGAACAAATTTACAACCTATCTGGACAATACCACAATTTTATATCCTAATTCAAATCCCACCTAACCAGCCTGAGCTCATCAATGAATAATGCAAAATGTGTAAAATGAAAGAGAATGAGGACAATTGCACCCAAATTACGTTAAGCAACATCGTGATATATCACGACAAAAACATCACACACAAGACTTAAGCAACAAGACCAATCCAGGCCGGTGACCCATAAGGAAACATTCTTGGTCCTATTGGTCCAATACCATATACAATTTATACTTCTGACTTCCTATCATCTTATACCTTCAACATCCAACACACCTTCAGTTTATAAAAAGTGTGGGACAGGATAGAGTGAGGAAAAATATACACTGTCTACATTAACATTGAAAAACAGTCCTTGCAGGTTCATCAATAACAAAGAGCCACCGAATCAACTCAAGTCAGATACTTAGGATATACTTAGTCAGTAGACTGGCGTGAAATCCCCACACAAACTTAACAGAGACTTGGACAGCTAGGAAGACTTTCTGAACTGAAATCAGTTTTGACCATCAAAACACAACTAACTTTGTACAAGGTGTAGTGTGCTTTGTACAAACTTTGGACGTGCAGTGTAGAACTGCGAGGTTCCACCAAGCCATCCAATATTCGTAACATCCAATCCTTCTAATTAAAAGTCCTCAGACGAACTGTCAAAGCTCCTTACATCACTAGCACTCTGTCCACAATGTCCTCTACATTCTGTTTGCCAATGAGCTGATCCAATCCTGCTTCCAAAAGTTCCACACCAAGTTTTTGATTCATTCTAACCCTACTGACTAAACCCTATCCTACATTCCCATCTTAAGAACCTGCCTTAAACAGCAATGGCCCCGAGATCTCCTCGGTCCTTAATCACTTTTATTGAGTGCCAGTTTGGTAAAAGGAAGGATAAAAACATATGCACATATTTATAATAATATGTATTTTAATAGGTACAAGGTAAAAATATAATATTTATTTAAAAAATCTAAAATAATTACAAAATATTATAAAAATTAATGTTATCATGATTTAAATAATTATTCTTAAATTGTTTGTTTTCAGGCAGCTGTTGTTCATAGTTTAATAGAAGTGTATGATTTACTACGAAACGTTACCGTGTATAAATGTATACCTGCTACTGAAGAAGAACTTTGCAATTTCCATTCCAGTGATTATATATCATACCTAAAAGACATCAATAAAATGTATACTCCGGATGATGATGTCGAGTTAGAATATGGCTTAGGTATGCTTTTTAATAAAAGCAATAATTCATTGAAAATAATGCCATTTTTTTGAAAGGGTACGATTGTCCACCGTTGGACGGCATTTATGATTATTGTTCAGCCATAGCAGGATCGACTCTCACAGCAGCAAGAGCCCTAGTCAGAAATGAAGTAGAAATTGCAATTAACTGGTGTGGTGGATGGCATCATGGTCAAAGGTAAATTTGAAACTAAAAAGTTGAATTTTGTTTTTTAATTTTTTTTTTCTTAAGGTATGAAGCAGAAGGATTTTGTTACGTTAATGATGTGATACTTGGAATATTAGAATTGCGTACATATTACGATCACATTCTATATATAGACTTAGACGTGCATCATGGTATGTTTATTCCATTTTTCACATTAATCATGTTATTTAAAATTAATGAAGCATTTCACAGGCAATGGTGTTGAGACATGTTTTGAATTCACTAAAAGAGTTTTCACCTTATCGGTCCATCAGTACGAACCTGGATTTTATCCAGGCACTGGTAAAACTTGTGATATCGGCTTTGGCCTCGGGAGCCACCATTGTCTCAATGTGCCTTTTAGGGAAGGGATCAAGGACGGAAATTACTGCCAAGTCTTTCAAAGGTATGCGATGCATTTTTTAAAAATGATTCGTGATGTTTTTATATTTTGATGGAAGGGTTTTGAACGAGATTTCCAAAGCATATTCCATGGATGCTGTCGTCGTGCAATGTGGTGCCGATGGCCTCTCCGGTGATCCTCTTGGAGGTTTCAACCTGACCGAGAAAGCTTATGGCTACTGCCTCAAACAAATTATAAAACTTAAAAAACCAACTTTAGTACTTGGAGGAGGTGATTCCTTTAGGGAAAATGTGTTTTATGCTTAAGAATAAAATTCTAATTCTTATTCCAGGTGGTTATAACAATGCAAACTCTGCCCGGTGTTGGACATACCTCACATCTGTTTTAATTGGAGTAGAACTGAGTCCTGATATTCCAGAACATGAAGTAATATTTTTTTTTAAATTTTATTATATTTTTTTAAGTTCCATTTATTTATAAAATATTTAATACTTCCAGTATTTTTCACTGTATGGACCTAGTTTCGAATTGGGCATAACTCCAGGAAACAGGAAAGACCTCAACGACAAAGAGTACCTTGAAAAAATGCTTGCAGATATCTCAGGTTGGCTCTTAATATCTGTTGACAATGAAATAAATAAAATCTAATCTCCATTTTTTATATCCTAACAGAGAATCTGAAAGCGCTTTATGATTCAAGATTGTAATGTGCCTGTTACACATTGACCACGGTGAATAATTTAATTTATTTTTTCTAAGAATAAACTTTTTTATTTTAAATAATTCCTCTTTTATTATTTAACCTAATTTCATTAAATAGGTATGTAACAAAAAATAATAAGTTGTGAGTTTGTACCTAATTTCCAAACGTATTTGATGATAATAAATAATTTTTTGTACAATAAAAATGGACTGTGTGCAAACTTGAGTTGAAGTATTTCAAGTCATTGTAGCATCTTAACAATTAATACCTGAGATAAAACTATTCAGTCAATGAGGCTATAAACAAATTTGAACAAATGTGCTGAAATGGCTGGACAAGATTTCATCACCGCCTCTAAACACTATAAATTATAAGAGGAGTAAGCAAACTAAAAGAATTCATGACCTAAGTTTTTGCAAGATTTTTTGCTCTCATGCGCGTGTAGTTAATCTTATCTTTGGTCATCACACCTACCTGTCACTGAGTGTCAATTACCCCTATACTATGAAGTAGTATGTAAACAAAAATTATAAACAAACGTAAATCAAAAATCGTTTTAATTGCATTTTGTAATTTGGCTATTAATTGCAAAATGTCTTAGGATGAGTACATCTTAAGATGTTTTGCAATGAATAGCCGAATTACAAAATGTAATAAAAACGATTTTTGATTTATATTTGTTTGTAATTTTTGTTTACATACTACTTCACCTGTGGTTTTATATTATTGACAGTCAAAAAGACAGTTTGGAATTATTTTGCAGGTTTAATAGAATAATAAATAAGACTGACATTCAAGTGATACATGTATGTTCAAAAATAATTGGAAGTTTTGAAAAAGCAGGACAAGGGTGATTATTTAAGTCATTTTTATCTGCTTGTCATCGCAATTTTGGCTTGCCTGATTTTTAATAACTGGCTTCTTGCCATATTCAGTTTTTAATAATTTTTGTTAAAACCCAACACCAAAGAAGGCCATGAGTCAAAACGTTATGAAAGGACATTTCACCACACAGACCTCACAATTTGTGACGAAGTGAAGCAAAAAGCCAGCAGTAGAGTTTGGAGTGGAGAAAGCCAAAGTTAAATAATATTAACCATTAATACTATACACAAACCACTATATTTCCAGACAAAAAAATTTCCGCTATGCCGACCTAACTTTTGGATTCACAAGACCGCTATAATAAATTTTTAATATGTACCATTTTGTCACTGTAATACTGATTTGGGCTTGATAAGATCAATGATTATTATTTGATAAAGTAGCACCAGTTGATTCGATACCAAACTAATAGTTCCTTCATTTTTATTATTTTAGTCTTGCTGATTTAGTCTACCAGACGTGTCATACATAATATATAAAGTATGTGTGTGAAGTTCAATTGAAGGAAGTGGATCGGGGGGGGGGGGAATCTGTGTAATATGAATATGAGCAATCAAACTCAGGAAGCCCACCTCGATCAGACAGCTGATCAACACAAAAAGCATTAGCGCATAAAAGCATCCCATAGTGAATGCATCCAAAATTTCAAAAACTTGGAAAAACAATCTAACAGTATCAAAGGCACACAAAAATTCTGGCAAAGAAAAAGCAGACAAACTGGCCATTGGAGGAGACCGTATATAGGCCCAGAACCAATATTTGGTAAAACAAGATCAAACATAGACTTCTCCAATTCAAAAGGAAAAGTAGGTAAACTTCATAGGTACCAGACACTCATGATTAAAGAACCCTCACCACAACTGATAAGAGCATTATAGCTAGATATAGTAAAACTCAGAGAAGTGATAGGGCTATATACTGGTCACTGGTATCTGAACCCTAAGTTGATGAAATTTATGATTATGCAATGAGAAAGAAGAAACTAACACTCATATTATCTTTGAATCGGGAACCAAGAAGCCCAGGAAAAAGTTTGTAGCAATGACAATGTTCTACTATTTCTTAAAACAAGTATCTAGTCAATTGAACTGAACAAAAAAATTAGGAAAAGTACAATCAGCAAGGCATTTATGTACATACCAATGCCTTACCTATCACTTCTGTCTGCAATTATGCCTTTTTGTGTAATTTACAATACATTAACAAGCAAACGTCAAGAATTACCCACCAAGGTGTTGGCAGTCAGTGATCAGACTTTGGTCTTAACCGTCCAGAGCTCTAAGGTCTATCAACAGCTAGGTCATTTCACCCCCTTATAATACTTGATATCCCCCACCTACTACATATTCACTCTAATAAATATGATCAGTCTCATCATAAATACATAATATTTTTTATTATTATCAGTATTTATTTAATTTGTAATATACAATATACATAAATACATTTTTAGAATTAAAGACAGGCTCTTTGGTTATAAAAATGGTTAAAAATTGGAACAGGGTTGGAACCTACAACCGTTTGAATGAAAAATGGCAAAAAGAGGGAAAATCCGAATGGTTGTAGGTTGAGATGGGCAGTTGGTGTCCGAGGGGATCAAAGTCACAATAGCTCAAGTAGTCAGAGCAGCGGCGTATTGAGCCGAAAGTCGTGGGTTCGAATCCCTCTCGTGACACTAATTTTTCATCTCATCCAAAAACCTTTAATGAAAGGAATAATTAATTGGAATTCCAAATTGTGTTGTGTACTTTCACTTCTGGTATAAATGAGATCCTTTCACAAGTACTTTTTAATCTTATAGTACACAGAGTTATAAATTCCTTAATTTTCAAACTATCATTTTTCTTCTACATTTTTTTTTTTTTTTAATTGCTTGTGCTCGTTAAATGTCTGCAGCACATGATTAGATGAGCAGAGAGCATACAACAATAGCTTTTTTGACCCACTCAACATATACATGTGAAATTTAGTTTGCTGTCCAACCATAAATCTCGTTATGTGCTACCACGGAAGAACAAATCACCAATAATTGCAGGGAGACTGTTCGTGAACAGAATAACTTCACTCTTGCTAGGTTTGAGATTAATTTTTCCATTTAGTGAAATGCCCATTAAACTTGAGACAGTATGTAGTCTTTTAACAATAGTACATACACAGTAAAAAGTGTCATGGCACACAGTGACTTTATTGATATTATTAAACTTGGGATGTCATTCATACATAGTTAACAAAGAGGGTGGGTCCAAGGACAGATCCTTGGGGTTCAATTGATGGTGATACGTATTAATTTGATATGACACCTTCAAAATGTACTTGAAAACAGTAGTTTTTGAAAAAGGCAGCAATTATTTTTATCAGATAGGTTGGGGAATTATTAGTTGTTAATTTATAGATAAGACCATGTGGCAAACATTCAAAGGCCTTGCTAATATATAAAAACTAAGAACACTGCACTCGTAATGTAAATACAAATTGTTTAGTTGATGCTTGAGGCTTTTGAGTAATGAAAATAAAATTATAGTTTTTACATTGTTTGATTTCCTGTGCAGATAAAAATGTCTTGTACATTATAAGAAAAAGTGGAGATGATTCTGCTGTTGGGAAAATTTGCACCAGGCTGAATTTAACGAGCTACCAGATCCTGTTAGTCGATGTTATTTGTGGCAATTGTTGAGAAGTTTTGAAACATGTGAAACATTAATTTACTATCAATAAAATAATAAATAAATAAATTGGTTCTTGGTTGGAGAAGAAAATTTCATTTCTTTTAAACAATTTTAGGAAAGATTTTTTCTCTGAATAATTGAGAAAGGTTGTTTCAAATAAAAAACAGTTGAATTAAGAATTTTAAAAAATTCAAAAAATGTATATTGATGAGTTTCTTGCCATTTGAAATAGTTAAGCCCTCTGTTTGTATCCCGCTATCCTAATAAAACTCTGGTTCATGAGAAACATCACTTTTGTTTAGATGTATCGACCACCTTTTCAATCTCAAATAATCTCTACTCAGAATAACCTGAAAGAACAAATTCAATTGTTACTGCTCAGCTGTTCACCTATTTTTACATCATCATCAGGGCAAAATACTCTTAAAGATATCTGCAAACTGACATAATGAGGGCTTTAATAGATGGTTTCAAATTTCTTGGCACAGTCCTTGGCAATGTTGGGACCGACAATTTCAACTCTTAACCCCAATATTGCCGAAGATTGTTAAAGAAATTTGATACCATCTATTAAAAACTTAATTATGTCAGTTTTTAGACATCTGTAATATAGTTTTACCCTGATGATGACCTTAAAATAGGACAAAAATTTGGCAATAAAAATTGAATTAGTTCTTTCGTCCAGACCATACTAAGATCCTGATGATTCATTGTGAGAAACCAGATAAGAAATAAAAGTGTCTCGGGGTTTTTCCCAAAATGGACAGTTATCTTTTGGAGCACCTTAGTAAACTTTTACAAAAATCTTTTTCGCTTTGGCAAATTTGGAATATAATCAATGATAAATATAGGATAAAAGTATGATGGGTAACCATACATAAGAGTATCTAGCATTCTTGAGGGTTGCCCAATACTTTAAAACATTTCAAAACCCTTTTACAAATAGTATTCCAATCATTCCCAACAACACTACTGCACTCACTGAGCAAGAAAAATCCTTCCTCACAGTCAATTTCCTAAAAGAAATGCACAATATAAATATATCCTTAGGTACTCCCTTCCGTAATAATAATAAAATAAAAAATGCTACATTGGCTGTTGTCAGTATCTGCCTACTGAATATAATTTCACCTGCCCCAGAGAAATAATTAAAATTATAAAAATCCCCAAAAGCAATAAATTTCACGGTCTTGACATTCCTCCACAAAAAGCGATAATTCACCTAACAGACATCTTCAATCAAATAATGATTGTTGCTTACTATCCTTATCCTCTAGTTATCCTCATTTTGAAACATGGCAAGTCCCCATCCAATCCAAATAGTTATCTACCTTTTATCCTACTTAGCTCTGTTAGCAAGATATTCGAGCGTGCTACACTCACCCACATAGCTGCATTCATGCTTTATAACAGCATCATTACACTGGAGCAGTTTGGTTTCAGGCCAGGACTATCTATCACTGTTCAATTAGCGAGGATTGAAGATGACTTAACACTAGCCTTTAACTTACAATTCTGGCATAGTTCTGATAGATGTATGAAATGCCTTTGACACTGTTTGGCATAATAGTATAGTCAGCAGGATGATCCCTACATAATAAAAATAGTTCACTCCTATCTCTCATCCAGGCAATTTTGAGTTTTCTTTGGATCATTTCCTTCCCAACCAACATACAATGTTGCTGGTGTTCCTCAAGGCTCTATCCTTGGACCCATTCTGTTCCTACTATATTTTAACAAAATACTTTGTTCTAATAATGTAAAAATTGCTCTCTACTCTTTTTCTTGGAGTCTAGGTATAATATCAAACAGATTAGACAATGCAATGCATTGCGAGGAGGTTTCTTCAATCATTGAAAAATTAAAATTAATCATAACAAAACGAAGGCAATAGTTTTCAGAAAGTGTAGACCTGTTTTATAAAAATGTACAATTTGAAGATGTAACCATGTTGTGGTCTGAGACAGTCAAATATCTTGGGGTAAACTCACTTTCACTTCCATGTCAGTGATAAAGTGAACAAGGGTACAGCGACTTTCCACATACTTTACCCTCTTCTCTGTCACCAGTCTAGCCTGTCACCTACCAATAAGCTTCTTCTGTACAAGATGGTGGTCAGGCCGATGGTCATGTATATCAGGCCCTTCTAATGCTAGCAGGCATTGAAGATCGAACCAATATTTTTTCTGTTGACCCTTCATGTATGAGTAATATTGGGGATTCCTAATTACTCATACAACTGCGAAATTTTATAATTGTTGAAAGTGTGAGATAATAAATTAATCGAGAATGAAAATTACAAAAATGTTTACTTTTGTTTAAAATACTGACCATTACACCTACATTACTTAATAGATTTTTTTTACATATTCCTTTTAAATATTGACATTAAACCTGTTTAATTATCCGATTAAACCACTTGGAGAATTGGCAAAAAAAATCAACAAGTACTTTTTGTGCGTGTATTGCAGGAGATCATTGAAGTTGTGAAGAAACAGTTGCCCTTATCAGTTTCTTTATATTCGCTGGTCGGAATGAGTTTGAATTCATTCAAGAAGCTTCACAACAACAGTGAGTATCACTTTAATTTTATATTCTTACGCTTATGGTATCAAAAGAAAAATAATTCTTCATTAAGTGCTTGTGAAAAACACTGCGATGTATTCTCTTAATACTCTCTATTTAATAATAATGTAAATTTTTGATATTTTCGCATATGACTCGGAAAATTGTATAATTTGCCTTATATAGATGTCACATATAAAAATTAAACCGGGAGATCCAAAATACAAGGATTTTTAAACTTTCCGGTTGTTTAATTATTGTAAAATTAGCTTCATAATTGTATCTAAGCACACATTAGCTTGAAACCCCTTTGAAAAAATGGCCAACATTGATTATAAATGTTTGTAATTTTAAATTTAGTCTGTTTTGGGACATATTTACATATAACGGTCCATGCATATACATTACATAAATTACATCATACAAAGAAAAAATACATTTATAAAACTTACTGTTATATTATTTAGTTTAAAGCTCATATATGTTGCCAATAGATGTTGGTCTACGAATAGATGAAGTCATGATGAACTGGCACTGGGTCTATCTATACTTGCGGTCACTAAACACTTTTTGATGTTGTGCCATCTTCAGTGAGGAACTCTGAGACAGAAGATGAAACCATGAAACGAGTGTAGACAGACCCAGTGCTGGTTCAATATGTACATGTATATATATTTTTTTATATGAAAATCTGAATTATTGTAAATACTGATTTCTGATTTATACAAGCTCAGCTTTGCTCATGCATATACCTACACATGTGGGCAGAGCTAACCTATCACTTCTCGCAGCCGCTGGCATTTTCAAACCTTGGTCTTATCCATCCCACCACTGTGGTTGGGTCTCCAGGGGCAACAGCGAGATCATTTCATCCCCCAACACATTCAGTTTCTAAATCCAAGTTGACTCATTCTTTAATACTTTCTTTTCTATTTACATAAATAATAGAAATATATACTCAGTTAGGGTGGTGGAGCACATGATATTCCTCCATTACCCTCCACACATATCATATAATTAATTAAAAGGCAATAAGGTACTCAATATTCCGCCATGGCCCTCTCACATTACATTCATGCTAATAAATACCTTCAGTCTCATGTACACAAATGGAACACTATATTAGCCCTGTTTCCCCAAAAACACAGAATACCTATTCTAAATAAAACCCAATATTTTACTTTATATCAATTATATATTTCAGAGGAGAATGAAATCTCTATTGCTACTTTTCACTGTTGGGTTGGCCTATGCCGTACCTCCTTCTGACTGGGTTGTATTCAAGGCAAAGCATGGCAAAAAATACAAAAACATTCAAGAGGAGCGCTTTCGCATGAATGTCTTTTTGGAAAACAAGAAACAAATCGAAGAGCACAATGCCCAATTTGAAAGTGGAAAAGTTTCCTTCAAACTCGGAATGAACCATTATGGAGATATGGTAAATTAATTGTGTTAAGTTTATTAAATCTTTTTGACTCAACTTGAACTACTTTTGCAGTTGGCTCATGAATTTAACGCTTTAATGACTGGTTTGAATTCTCCGGCCAGTGCACCAGATATGGAACTTTTCAAAGCAAACCAAGATGAGACTCCAGCAGTTTTCGACTGGAGGCAACATGGAGCAGTCACCCCGGTCAAACAACAACACCTCTGTGGGTCCTGTTGGGCTTTTAGTACTGTAAGTAATTATATATTAAAAATAAATTGTAAATTATTACTAATATACATTTATGTTTTTCAGACGGGAGCATTAGAAGGTCAGTTCTTTCTCAAAAACAGAAAGCTAGTGCCCCTCAGTGAACAAAATCTTATAGACTGCACACGCGATTACCAGAACCGTGGATGCCATGGTGGCAGAATGGAAAACGCTTTCATTTATGTCAAGGACAATGGAATCAACACAGAAGAATCTTATCCTTATGAAGCTCGTGTAAGTATCTTTAACATTTGAAGCAAATTAAATTTGGCTCTCCATTATTGTCTTATTTATTTGTGTGTAGGAGGGCCCTTGCAGATTCAATGCAAGCCTTGACGTAGCAGGGACAGTTAGAGGATATGTACCCATCCCAGAAGGTGATGAAGATACCCTGAAAAAAGCTATAGCTTTTGTTGGACCAATCTCAGTGGCCATTAATGCCAACTTTACATCATTTCGATTCTACTCATCAGGTAAATTAATTTGCAAATAATAATCTTCAAACTTTTCAAATCGAAATTGTTTTTTTAGGTGTATTTTTTGAACCTAAGTGCAATAGCGACAAATTAACCCATGCCATGCTTGCTGTCGGCTATGGTACTTCGGACGATGGACTTGATTACTGGCTGGTGAAAAACTCTTGGAGTTCACGCTGGGGTGAAAATGGTTACGTCAAGATTGCCAGAAACAAAAACAATCACTGTGGTATAGCTTCTACCGCCTCTTTTCCTGCTATCTAATTTTTCTGAAAAAATATATTTATTTATTGAATTGAAATATATTTATTGTTTTGTATTGACCTGTGCCTACAAGGAATGAAACAACAATTAAATACTTAAAGTTCAACATATTGACTTGGAAATATTTTTAAAAGCTTGCAATATGGTTTAGCTGGTTTTCCTATCCTCGCGGTCTCTGCCACTTTCTAGATTTATCTGGTCAAATCCTGTAGCATTCCATTTTTCTTTTTACTATTAATCTGCTCTTGTCTTCATTTATGCAATAAGCAGATTTTTTTTTGACAAGGAAACCACATAAGGTTAAGTGAATATGAGCCCCCCCAACAGTAACCAACATTTTAACATGCATTTCGACATCAAATCAATAGGTGGTTTTTGTGCACAGTTGGTCACGAGGCCAGTTAAGCCGACTTGTGGTGACAGAGACAGAGGACCCCCACTTGTCCGTACCGTGTTGGACCATACTTAGTAGTTTAGTAGCTTCAAAACTACATTGTTCGAAGCTTACAACATTTTGTTGAGAAAAAATGTTAAGAAGTTTTAAAAATAGTGAATTAGGGATGATAGCACTTGCTTTTCAGGAATCACTATTTGACACACCTGAAATCATCACTGGAGGAGAAGAATGTGTGTTCACAACGCGTTGAAAGGAATTTATTTTAACTAATTTATTTAATTAAATTATTCTGTCTTTATATTCCGTATTTCTGTGTTTTTCATTGACTGGTCATCCAATGCAGGAAACTTTCTTTTCTGACCTCCTCAATTAGTTTCTTTGCATCCATTTTATGAAATAAAATTGTACTAAGGTTATAAAAAGACAATCGAGAATAAACAGATAAACGAAATATTTAATTGGGCATCGTGCGGTGTGTTGGTGTGAAGTGGGGCCTAGCCGGCTCACTTCCATTGTCTTAATCACTCTCCATTTGATGCCAGACAGACAGCCGTCACACGGTGCGGGCTTGGTTTGGTCGTGTTGGGTCCGGCCTGAACTCCTCAACCTCCTTCTGTGGGTAGAGTAAGAGTGGAAAGGATGAGGGAGTTGGAATGAAAAGATCATTTGTAGTGGAAATTGATGTATCATGATTATCAAAGAAGGGAACATTGGTGATTTTGCGGAAGATTTTATACTAGAGGGATACTGTTAAGGTTTGATTTTTTAGACATCCTGTACAGTTCTAGTCCATACGACCATGGACAGCTTTCTGCCATTTTAAGTTATATATTGTCCATGTCAACTCTGGCTTTCCTATTTAGATCTTTTTTTTTTTTCATTGGGTATTTCTTTCGGGGTAAAATGCTTAATAACATTTTCTAGTCGATCTTGTGATACTGCAGTGTGGATACGGCAGAATTGTATGCAATCTGGCACACCACAGGTGATTTGAGACAAAGTTGGCTCTGCCTATCTCGTCTGTACCGACTCCATGACAGATTCTCAGTGGACCCTCTTGTCATGCTCTTGCTATGGTGGTAGTCGCTTAGGTACCCAGGCTTGGTGTTCCACCACTGTCAACCAGCCCACTGACAATATGCGAGTAGTAAAGAATGCAATAAAAGAGCGACAGCAGTCTCTTGGCCATCTGGTGTCGAGAGGGTAACTGAACAATCCCCCCCCCCAAGAGTTTGAAACAAAAGGGAATGAGCTCACTCGCTTGAGGATAGGCCATGTTGTAGCATACCCAACTAACTCACAGACACCTGGTATTGGGGCAAACCCAAAGCAGGTGACCTGCATGTAGAGAAAAGTCGCTCGGTTGCTCAGTGGGGTCCCACTTGGTCAAGGAGTGCCAGGCCTTGGCTCCTTATCAGTAATAAGTTATACAGTCCTTATGCATGGCAATGTTTTGTTGGATCACCATTCTTATTTTTAAGAGAAATGCAGGGGGGGGGGTTAATCTATCAATTGTTGAAATCTGAAATAGTTATTATATAAAAGATTTGACAGCAAAAGCAACTTTTTACACCTGTAAAAGTTAGAATGTTAAATATTTAAAAAATATTACAAATGAAATATCAAGAAAAAAGAAAGCATTTGTTTCAATTAAAAGTTTTTTATTTGTAGTATTACAGATATTGCACGTACAAACTATAAAACATTTATGTATGTACAAATATATTACATAGTTTAATTGCAATGAACTATAATTTTCTTCTAAAAATGACTCCTATAGGGGACATCGTATTAGTCTGTAGCAGTTATTCGATTGTACGCTGTAACTAAATTAATTAGAAAAATCTTCAATTTTTAGCTAGATTCATTCAATGCACTGACTGAATCCAATGATAGTTTTCTTTTGGTTTCACAAGTGGAACAAGTCAGTTTCAAATCTATTATTGCTCCCTGGGTTCAAACTTTTCCAAGTATAAGAGCAACATCTCACTTTTACAGTCTCTCTCGGTTCAGCTACTATCTAAGAACAGTCTTTCAAATTTATTATCATCTGTAGCCTCTTGGGTAAAAACGAAAAGCTGCAGAAATTTATTAAGCCACTTAAATATACTTAAAAACACCTTTTTCCCCCATTTTTTAAAATGTTTAGCAATTTTAAACAAAAGGAAGACTTTATAAATTTAAAATTAAAATGGAGAAGAATAAGTGAGGGCACTAATTAGTATTAATAGCATGGAATGAATTTGTCCTAATTCAACAGTTCTTAACAAAAAAACCACACTTTAACTGAAATATTCTAAAGTCACACTTTTTAAATGTAACTATTTCTGTTTAAATGTTTTTACATCTAGTACATGTGCTGTATGTGCGTTGGCATGTAATATAAAGCACACAATTTTTTTCCTTAAAATAAATTTTCCATCAAATATATTCCACATTTTTGGAGTTTTTGTTGCACAATTTCATTAACTTCCTATTAACACTTTTTTTTTTTTTTAAGTAGTTCACCTTTTTTCCATAACTATGTATAAGGCCCCTTCAATTCACTTATCACGAATTCTGTTAATTATGAAACTGTTTTAACAATGAATCTTGCTTTTGTTCAAAAGCCATAGTCATAACAGAAGGTCAAATAAATCAATTAGTTTAACGCTTTATAAAGCGTTAGTTTAAAATAATTTTAAAAAAATTGGGAAGGTGTTAGGGTTGTAATCTGTCTAAAAATTTTGCCTGATAGAAAAGGGTCACCTTAATAAGTGTATTTTTAAAACAACCCTATTTGCCCTTTTGCCTCAATGATGAAGGTCTATTTTGTACAATATTCTGATTAAAGGATGTAAACAACCACATAAAACATCAGACTACATTTTTTTTAAATACAACCTTTTTTTAACAAAAACATTTTAAAATCATGTATTTGCACATATGACACTATTTTACTCTAATTAATTTTCTTGCAGGAAGACAAGCAATAATTCTATATTATTTAAAAACATAATACTAATAAAGTAATGAAACTTGTGATATGTATGTAATATAATAATAATATACATTTTTTTTTTAATTGGTAACTTTAAAAATATAAATGGGGCAAAAATAATCACATTTGAACAGTCTAACATTTCCTTGTCGCTCAAAATGTGCAAATACACCATTTCCGATTGATCTATTCCTACAAAATGTGTGAAAATTGTTATAATTTTCAATTAATCTATTTATGATGAGCCTTCTAGAGCATGCTCTGTCATGCTAAGGCAAAGGCTCTGGAGGCGCGAGTCAATTTCTGTTTCCGTTCCTCCTGGAACTTCACTCTGAGTATTGACACTGGTAACAAATTCACCCTGGAACAAAACTCACATGAGCCTGGCCACCTTATATATAACCGGAGACCAAGTACCTGTACATTGATCTGATTCTTCTGGCTAACCTGTGACAATATGGGTGAAACCTGAGGTTTTGGAGAGACTGAGAGAGGAGGGGTTTGAATAGGTTTTGCACAAAGCTTTGATGTCTCTTGCAAACGTCTAAATAAAAATTTAAAAAAAAATTAATTGTTAAACCTAACTACTGATTCTAATAGTCATACCTAACATGCTGGCTAACTTGTAAACACCAAGAACTTATTTTCTTTTTTTGCTGTGGTGTAAAAGCATCATGATGCAGGGTCGATTCGAGAAGTCCTAGGAACATCCATGCTGTGTGTTCATCGCTCTCACTACCATTAGTACACCATCGTCCACCGACCATCAGCTGTGTACAAACTAAAACGACAAGATGTAGCACACGTGACTTTTTTCTTCCTAAAACTTACTTTTTCCCAAGACTCTAGTAAATTGTGAAGGTATGTCATCATAGGAAGGATGTTCTTCTTCGTGATAGACCTTTATTGGCGTAACTAAAATTTGTTTCAATTCATCCATTGCCGTTAATAAATGAGCACCATTCATGACTTCCTAATAAAGTAAAGTTTAAACATTACAATTTCTTTCTTTAAATAATGTTTTGGAAATTCCTACTTGCTCCAGAGATGTGAGGAAATTAGACCTTTCGCGTAGCTTAACAATACTGAGTATGATTTTCCTTCTCGCACCTTGAGTCACTGAGCCTCCGCCGATCGATTCGAGAATTGAATCAAAATTTTCTTCAGTGAGCGAAAGTATCTGTTCATAATTTAATTGACAAAATAGATGCCAGTACTTGTGCAGTCTCAGAGATTTGAGCCAATTTTTAACATCTGAAAATTTAAAAGTACATGTAATAACATGTTAAACATTGGGTTGTCGTACTGACCCCTCATTTCAGGTGAGTCATAAGCGAGGTCGAGGTGAGTTTCTGAGCCGCTACCAGACGATGCCTGTGAGGACTGTGGGGATAATGGGGGGCCGACAATCTGTTCGGAGGAAAGGGAAAATCTCCTAGCTTTCACACCTCCGCTCATTGATAGGTCATCCTGTTTTCAACGTATTATTATTATTAATATGAGTTATGAACGATAATTCTCATTTGGACTGTTGTCAAATTACCTGTGAGGACCATTCTGTGTTAGGGGTAAGGGCAAATGGAGGAGTAAGACTGTTACTCCGTCTAGTCTTTTGAAGTGAATCACAAGCAACTAAACAAAAATATTGTACTGTTTAGAAAAAAATCCTAAATAGTGATGAATAATAGCAGAACGGGGCTTTCCAAATTGAGCTCTGCAGACCTCTTGGGGGTCTGTGGAGCAATTTGGTAACTAAATTCAAGCTTTTTTCCCAAATAACCCATTCTCAATGAAACGAGAAATTGCAGATACACTTAACATATCTCTTACATTTTTTCAATGCATTTGAGAGCCACTGGATATTTGTTGGAGCGATATAAAGGTTCTCACATGTCAACTGAGAAGAATTTATTGGACAGCATCTCCATCATCGATTCCCTCTTAAAACTCAAATTTTAAAAAGACTGAAAACTGGTAACAAAAAGTGGGTTTTTAAATAATGTTCCGAGAGGACAATCATGAAGAAAAGGCAAATCCAAAAGCTGAATTACAACCCTAAAAGGTAATGAAGGTTGTGCATTTGCTGGGAAGAGAGTGTGCTTTATTTTGAGCTTCTTCCACCTAACCAGACTGTTAACTCTAGCGTATTAATGACTGAAGGCCAGTGATTAGCCTCATTTGAGGACTGCAGAAACAAATCAAGAAGTTCATTGCTCACAAACCTGAGAAGTTTTAGGAGGACAGAATTGCAAAATGATTCATATATTGTCTAAAATGGTTACTGGTTTAAAAAAAAGTTTTGTTTTTTGTTTTACTTGATAAAATAAATGCAAATAAAAAGCAGAAGTCTTTCTAGAAAGAAGGGGTCTTCTCAAGCAGCAACTGATTGATTTTTCTCCTGTGACTAAGACTAATCCCAACTCTTATCGAAACTAGCTTGAGTTCTGCCAAACAATTATTTTTTGTATGTTTTAGTCAACAGTGGGGTTAACCATACAAGACATTATAATCAAATAAATAAATAATAGGAAGGCAACATCTCATGAAAATTGGGTAGGCAAAAACAAATTTTTGCTTAAACTCTACAATAAATAACCAAAATATATAGATATATTAGTAATAAGTAAAAAAATTATAGTAATTGTTTAAAGATTTAAAAAAAATTTGCGTTTATAACGAAACGAGAAATTACATGAAAATCTTACTTACTAGGAGTTTTATTGCCGCCCATAATTTTTTCGCCTAATGTCCTTCTCCATGGTTCAAATATTCTAATTTTAAAAAAATTAATATACAAAAATATAATTTAAAATACATAATATTTAATTGGTTTATTTTTGTACCTTCTGTCATCTCGGAGAGCAGGATGAATCAGTACGTAAGAGAGGAGCTGCCTTGCCTCCTCTACAAGTGTTCCTGTCTCCATTGAGTAACCAAGAAGTGCAGGAACAAGGGCAAGGTAGACAAGGCGAGCTTCTGAATTTCCAGGCCGGAGGAGAGGGAGGTGCACCAGAGTCTGAGCCATGGCTACTTCTTTGCGCTCTCCCATTAGACTCCCGACAAACCCTGTTAAATGAATATTTATAGAAATTTGCTATTTAGAAGAATTTTTAAAAAAACTACCTGGATTGTTAGCTTCTTGTTCTCGCAAGGCAAGCTCTGCGCATTCAGTCAAGCTGTGCTCCAGAGCGATAGAGACAAATCTCGCCTGGGTTGGCGCAAGTCGGGTAAGCATCTTGAACAAAGCTACAGTCTGACCACTTTCGTTCCATTGGTCGAACCACATGACCATAGTGTTCAGCTGAGCTTGGAACATTGCCATCGTCATCTCTGAAATTGAAAAATTCAAATTGCACATTTTTTCACGTTGAACCAGCACAGGGTCACTTGCTCATTACACAAAAATAAATTAGATAGCAACAAATTAAATAAAAATGTACAGAGTTGAGATGGATTTTGATCAGCGAGTCAAACTCATAGGATCACTTGCTGGGTCTGTCTCCACTTGCGCACTTTTTTTTTTTTTTTTTTTTTTTACGCTTTAAGCCTTGGTCTAATTAACCATTGATAATGTAAAACACAAATTTAACTGGAAAGCATCCCTAATAATTGTTTAGCTAGAGTATCAATTTTCATCATTTTGGTTGATGATTCATCAGCTTAAAAAAATCTGTAATGTGTAGAGATTAGTGACCGTTAATCGATAGTAATTCAGATATTGTGAGATGCGGTCGGGTGTGATGTAGGTTTCAGAAAAACATTTTCTTTATCGTGCCAACGTTTCGATCTTTTATTGAGATCATCTTCAGGGCTCAATAAAGATCGAAACGTTGGCACGATAAAGAAAATGTTTTTCTGAAACCTACATCACACCAGACCGCATCTCACGATTTCTGAATTACTACTAAAATCTGTAATTGTTGTCATTGCAATTAATGCCTTCATTTAAAATGTAATTTCATCATTACTGGGTCATGGACAAATGCTGATAACAAACCAATTATTTAACTTATTGACATATTGAGCATTTAATCCGAAACCTCGAGAATGCCAAGACCCGTTAGAGGCTTTAGAGCCATTGATGATGTGTTTCTGTTTGTTTCTGGACACTTTTATTCCTTGTTTAATTATACTATTTCTTAAACTGTTGTTTGATCAATTCTGATCTTTTGGCTTGCCTCCTTGTTTTGATATATCTGATGTTTTGGCTTTTTGTCAACTTTATCATCACCCAGCAGGCCTCAAGAGGAAATCCCTTCATTTCCGTATTCATGGTATTTTTATATATTTTTGTTTGTATGCTTCCATTGAAATTGTGTTTACTTTTTAGCCTACATGTGTTTGTCTATATTTCTATTTATTGACTACCCTTCCACCAGATGCTGGTAGGTATTTATGATTTGGTTGTTTGATCTTTCCGATCATTTTGGTCTGCTTATCCTTGCTGTTTTGATCTGTCAGACATTTTTCAGCTCCTTGCGATCTTGATCATCACTCCGCAGACCACAAGAAGAAACCTACCAATTTCTATTAATTGTTTGTTGTATGTGCTTCTGAATATATACTGTAACCTTGTAAAAACTTGTTTGTTTACGTATTTCCTTTTATTTGTTGCTGTTTGTTGTTCGTTTCGGTTTGGTGTTTAACCCAATCATATTGACCTGACTATTCTCGCTGTTTTGGCCTGTCACAGTATGGCTGTTACACTAGAGATGTAGACCAAACAGAAAGGACAAGCAATCCAAAATGACCAGACCCAACCTACAGGATCTCACCTGCAGACCACAAAGAGATCTCATGTTTACTTGTTTATCTGTTGTTTCTGAATTTGTAAATATCTGTTGGGGGTCTGTGGTAGCTGAGCATGTTAGACTCTTGGCTCTTAGACCCTGCGGTCATGGGTTCGAACTCCTACTGGAGTTTTCTTTCACACTCTCCTTTTCTCTAAAATATGATATATACCAAAAACGTATTCTACTGTGGATAATATGTAAACTAAAAAGCCATAAAAAGTAAATAAATAAAAATCTGTATTTGTTGAAAACAACTACACAGGAATTTAGGTGCTGTGGGCCAGTCATCCTTTTGCTTAAAAATTCACCAAAACTTGAATTTGACCAAGGCCAATTAGAGAGCTGTAGTCCCATAGGGATGACGATGTGTTTCTGCAAGTCTGAGAGTGGTAAAGTTCATTTGTAGGTGTAGAAGAAAACAGAGACTTTAGAAAAGTCAGACACCTGGGACTAATGAACCGAAACTGTGATAAATGGACTGAAATGATAGGAAACAATCAACATACAGGTTCATCACCCAAAGACCCTAAAGAGATCTCACTGTTTACTTGTTTATTTATGCATTCTCTATTTGTTAGCAGCTAATTCCCCAGACTCAGGTGCTGTGGGCCACTCATCCTCATGCCTTAAAATCTGAAAATCTCTGTACGATATCTCACATTTACTTGTTCGTTTACAGATCTTTCTGCATTTGTAAATACCTGTTGGGGAGGACTGTAGAAGCACAATGGTTAGTTCGTCGACCCTAAGGTTGTGGGTTCCATTCCTCTGTAATTTTGTTTCATCCTCTTCCCTTCATCCAGAAAATGTGATATATACTACAAATGTACTGTTCTGGCTAATATGTAAATCATAAAGCCAAAAAAAAACAACTTATATTTGTTGACAGCCAATCCCCCATACTCTGTGGTGTGTCCAGTCATCCTGCCATAAATATTCAAGAACACCAAAACTTTAATATGATCAAGGCAAATTAGAGAGCCATTGATGATGATGTGTTTGTACAGGCCTGACAGCAGTACAAAGAGAGTTCTTGTAGGTGCTGAAGAAAACTGATAAACAGAGAGTCTCACTGCTCTCACAGACCAAACCATTAGGGTAAGGTGACAAAAATGATCAGCAATGGCCAAACTACAGAGTCAACACTCTAGATACATAAAGATCTCACAGCTTGCTTCTTTATTTACGTGTGTTCCTGTAAATTTGTAAATTACTGTATTTGTTGGCAGCAACTACTCCAGACTTAGGTGAGGCTGATCATACTCCTACCTTAACAAATCAAGATCACTAAAACAAAATGACCAAAGCATACTAGAGAGCCATTTATGTTGATGATGATGATGTGTTTCTACAGGTCTGACAGCAATACAAAGAGTGTTCAAGTAGGTGTTGAAGAAAACTGACAGACAGTCATACTGCACTCACAGACCAAAAATGTCTGTGACATAAGGCGACAAACATGATCGGCCAATATTAGAGACCAAAATAAAGCCAGCACACTGGACACATAAAGATCTCAGTTTGCTTGTTTATTTACATGTTTTCCTGTGAATTTGTAAATGGCAGTATTCATTAGCAGCAACTCCACCAGATTCATGTGTGGCCGATCATCCTCCTGCCTTAAAAACTCAAGACCACCAAAACAACACGACTGAGGCAAATTAGAGAGCCATTGATGATGATGTGTTTCTACAGGTCTGACAGCAGTATTCGTGTAGGTGTTGAAAAAAACTGACAGATAGTTACACTGCACTCACAGACCAAACCATTAGGGTAAGGTGACAAAAATGATCAGCAATGACCAAACTGCAGAGTCAACACCCTGGATACATAAAGATTTCACAGTTTATTTGTTTATTTATATGTGTTCTGTAAATTTGTAAATGCCTGTATTTACTGCCAGAAACTCCTCCAGACTCAAGTGTGGCCGATCATCCTCCTGCCTTAAAAACTCAAGACCACCAAAACAACACGACTAAGGCAAATTAGAGACCCATTGATGATGACGATGATGTGCTTCTGCAGAGTTGACAATGGTAAAACTACAAACAGTTAATTTTTACTATGTTGCCAATTGAAATTGGCAGACGATACGGATATTTATAGATTGGCGTAGTAAAAGTGATATTTTATCGAAACCCATGGAAATACTGTTGTATAGAAGACGGTATAAAACTGGTATCTCTTAATAGCACTACACTCGCGATATTTCATCAAATTTGAGCTTGTTAATTTACAGTAATTTATTAAACTATGGCATATCTGTTAAATTGAAGAACAAATTGGGATGCTTAATTGAACTGTGATGAGAATGGTGGGTTGTTTATTATATGTTATGTAGGAAATATTTCGAGATTTTATTATAGGCTGTGAAATTAAGGGTTTTGGGACAGTTTAAAGCTTTATTCGCCCTATTTTTTTTTGGAGGGGAAGTTGATAGAAAAAGGAAATAATGCGTAGACGTTTGTGTCGGCAGACAAATCGGACGCTTCGATTTTGGATCCGTGGGCTACTTCCGAAGAGTGTAAAAAAATGTTCAATTTAAGTCAAAATCTCACTTACTGCGAGTTTCTTCAGGATATTCCGTGCGTTTCCAGAAAAATCTATTTTTTCCCCCGAATCGTCAGTGGCTACATTCGGCTCACGCCAAGGGCGGCTGGCTTCTGATTCTCGTCGAAACAAGTTGAAAATCGGATTAAAACACCTCGAAGCACATGATCCTGGGGTCACGGAATGGGACGTCCGATGCGAAACTAATTCCTTCCGCAGGTCTACATCCGAACCGAAAGGCAAATCGGTCTGGGTAGAGGAGATCGGGGGCGTTTTCGGTACACTCGAGAGCGCATAACAGTCGACTTAAAAAAAAAAAAAAAAAAAAAAACCCTCAACGCTTTGACAAATGCGCAGAACCCGTCTCGACCAGACGAATAAAATCCTCCGGTTTAAAAACAAGACGAATATTAATAAAACCGGGCCCGATCTATTATAAATAAAACGACTAGAGTTATAAATAAACCAATCAAAATCGTACAAATGTAACAATGGCTGAGGTTTCCGACTGACAGTTCGTATAGGTTTTGTTTACAAACATGCAGAAGTTTCTCCCGGTGTCTGATCCTCGACCTGCAAGGATTTAGAGAGAAAGTCATCAAAAGAGTCAGAAATGACGAACCAGGCGCCGGTTTTCATCGAGCCCGGCGATGAGAAAAAGCTGCAAGCTTTCATCAAAAACATGCCGCCGACGATCGGCTACTGGAAAAGGATCACGGTAAATTTATCTTCTCAATTTTTCTTTCTGGGTTTTTACACACATAATTTTGATAAATTGGCTCAGGCCGATGCCATGAGTTGGACAAACATTGTCAACACATAATGTCGGTGACCTAAACACTCGACCACCGCGGTCCTCTGTACAGATTTTGTTGGTCCAATGTTCCCATTTTTGAACAGATTTTTACGATTTTAGCAACTACCTCATGAGTATTGAAGTCCAGAACCGTTTGAGATTGCATCAAGACCCAGTCATTGGGGACAACATCAAAATTATCCTTGTATAGTTTTCTGTACATTTATAGGTATTTATATTTTTTGACTCCAATTCTGGGTCAGTCAACCTCCTAACTCAAAAATTCCAAAACCTTGAACACAACCAAGGTCAATTAGAGATCTGTATCACCATTGATGATGATGATGTGTTTCTGCAGGTCTGATAGCAGTACAAAGAAAGTTCATTTAGGTACTGAAGAAAACCGACAGACAGTCACACTAGACTCACAGATAAAACTGTGAGGATACACAGACAAAAAGGTTCAGAAATGACCAAAACCAATAAACAGTGAACCTTAAAGTTCATTACCTGGAAGACCCCATAGAGATCTCACAGTTTATTTGATTTGATTATGCTTTTTCTGTACAGTTGTAGACCTCTGCATTTGTTGGCAGCCAATCCCCCAGATCCAGGTGATCTAGGTCAGTCATCATCATTACTCAAAGTTGCTCATAAAACCTTGAGCACAACCAAGGTCAATTAGAGATCTGTATCACCATTGATGATGATGTGTTTCTGGAGGTCTGATAGTGGTACAAAGAAAGTTCATTTAGGTATTGAAGAAAACTGCCAGACAGTAACACTGACTCACTGACCAAAATAGTGATGATATAATAAAAAAATGCTCATTTACTAGTAAATTACTAGTGAATGTTGTCACCACCATGAACTGTGGTTTGTCCTGCTCAGTCCACTGGATAATCCTAATTTGAGTATTGTTTCTCATCGTAAAAATTGTATTTTTTTCTTTTTTTAGATTAAAGATGGAATTAAATATGACAGACATGATGTTCTAAGGTTGATCATGAATGCAATCTATCCTCATAAAATTCTTCCTGTAAAGGTAATAATCATTTTTTTTCAATATTTTATTAATCTACTTCAATTTTATTTAAATTTTATCGTTTATGTCGCAGTATCAGAGAGATAAGAATGATACGTTTTTCATCTTTCGAAACACTCTCAGTGTTCTTCAGCCATTTTGTTCAAAGGGTTTAAAGCTGTACAATGACAAAACAGACACTGTGGTAATGTTAGCTATAAAAATCACACTTAACTTTTTAATTTTTTTTGTTATTTAATTTTAACAATTAAATCATAGATATCAATTGGAATAGTTATCAGATATGCGCAGATCATGGAAAATGACATAGATCCTTCAAAAATAATAGAGGACTGTCTAAAAGTGAGAATTAATACAGCGAAAAAAGTCGTGGACCTCAGAAACTTCCATAATGATTCCAGTGAGTAGAAAAAAAAAAAAAAAATAAAGGGTACTTTTTAAAATGCCTTTCAGAGAATTTCCTGTGTGCATAACTAGTTAATTCTAAAGGACTTAACTTGAAAAATTTAGATGATGTGTCATAGGGAGAAATTTGGTACTTTGATTTCCCACATCCTCTTCTTGTTATTTTTTGGGTCGTTTTGTCTAATTATTTACAGTGCTTAGTGACATATATGTGCCTTTGAGCGTGCCACAGTGTGCATCGATGGTCTGTGATAAAATTCTAACCAAATTCATTCAAAAACCACAAGCCCTGTTGCTCAGCTACAATGAACTGGACAGGCTGGATGTGTTGGAGTATTTTAGAAAAATGTCGCACGGTCTGAACTGCCTAGATCTCAGCTTCAATAATGTAATTAAAGTTTAGATTAAATGTCATTAAATAGATAATAAATGAGGATGAGGAATGTGATTTTTTCCTTTTTGCAGATTACATGGTCAGGGTTTGAAAAAATCCCGTTTATTAATATAAGAGAACTTTGGCTGGAGGGAAATCCACTTTACGCCGATTTTGTCCATTCTTCCACAGAGTTGGTGAAAGAAATCAAACGTGTTATTCCATCAATTCTAAAGCTTGTAAGTATCCCTGAAATTATATATTTTAAAAAAAGTGTTAAATTAGCTTGATCTTTAACTTTCCTAGTTGTGCTTTCCTATTTGTTTTGTTTGTCTTAAACTGATCACACCGAAGATGGAATGGAATTCAGACCTTTAACAAATTGATAAACAGCTACTGCAATTTTTAAGAGGGCAATACACTCAGAGACCTTTATGTGTGAAAGTGATTTGTACAAATTAAAATTAAGGATCAATCTCGTAAACAATATTTAAGGCTACCATATGAACATTGAAGAATTTTGAAAGGCTATTGAGGCTAACCATGAAAAAATCATTCACTGTTAAAGTAATAACAATAATGAAAGAAGCAAGGAAAGAATGAAGGAGAAGCTGATTTCAAAGGGATGTGCTGTGATTGAGCGTTAACTGTGCAATGATTGAGAGTTTATACAGTGTGCATTGCGAAAAATATGAGCAGACAAAAACACTGGTAGGTCCAGTAACCCTATAAAATTAGAAACCACCACAAAAAAAAGGAGCAATTCTTAGTAGATAAAGATAAAAACTCATACTTTGTGGATCAACACCTAGGACTCAGACAGCCAAAAAACTCAATCAATAAAAAGGACCTCAACTCTGATCTAAACACACACAAGAAATTAAATTCTGCCAATAAAGTCACACTTGAACTTACAAGGGGTTATTGGTTGTAATTAGTAAGTTCTTGGTAGTAAATATACAACGCAATATGTACAACTTTGTTCATATTTATTCTTTATAATCAAAGCACAGTCATATCCTATGAGTGATATGTTCCAAGGCAATGTGTTTCAAATTAAAATCACACTAAGTGGAGATTTTTTCCTGACTGATACTATGTTCTTGTTACAAATATAACAAAAAATACAATGGCTTGCAAGTACTAGTTCCCTTAATATTGAAGAATATAATTAGTACATACTTACATACATATTTAGATCAGGATTTTATTTAAATTATTTTGCACAAGAACAATATCTAAAAAAATCCTTGAGAAGTTGAGTTGAGGTTATGTAGTTTCTTAGTTGCTGACTTTTTGAAAAATGTGTGTAGAGGTTGCTATGCTTCTCTTATTCTTTCATTCAGTAGCTGTTGATAAAAATCTGTTCTGTCACTGACAACTGTTTTGAGTATCACAATTCCCTCCCAGTCAAATTCATTTTGCTCCATGAGGTTTAAGCCTGTTTGAATTAACTATTAATTAGTTAAACGTTTCTGCAAAATTTTAGATGATAAAATTTTCAGTTTCTTGAGGAATGATCAGTCTTCTTTTTCCACTTGAGATTTTAATTTCAGAAGTTCGTTTGTCAATGGTTGCATGTAGGATTCAATTAATTCGATGCTGTCTTGTTCTACCATGGATTTTTTTTTACAGTTTTTTTCCAGCAACCATTTATGCAATACTGCATAACTTCTTTCCATGAAAAATCATTATTTTCAACGGCATTCGTTATGTTAAAAGATTTCCACCTTTCTTTCACTGACAGCTTGCCTGAATCTGTTTTATAAATTAATTGGTTGAATGTGCGTACCAAATAATACTTAAAAGCAGCAAAAGCTCCTCGATCCATAAGCTGCAGTAAACTTGGACATTTTCTTTACAAAAAAGAAACAATAACAATACACCTGGCTGGACACTTTCTTTTAAAATTGATTATAAAAATTGCAAAAAGGGAAATTTCCCTTGTACCCAGACTGTAAAGTCCTAACTTAGCTCACACAAACTACAACTTTCAAGAAATGAAATAAGAAAGGAAAATCTGTAGTAGAAAAAAAAAATGTATAAAAGGACAGTGTTGAACAGCTGACAATTAACCATCGAATATGATGGGGTATATTCTTAAAACTTATGATGACAATGCTGATTATTTAATTTAAACATCTTATAAAATTACATTATTTAAGTTCAAACTTTAACTTATTTCTAAGACACTGGCTGCTTTAAAACCTTAATTTGATGTTTGAAATACTGCAAGGAATAAACAAATATGTAGATTTTGTTTAGTTATATAATCCTTTTTTTTTGTTAGGATGGTGTGGAATTAGGAAGGACAGTTCCAGGAGACATTGTCAATTTGAAAACGTGCTTTATAAATGGTGCTTATGCCAATTTCGTCGATCACTTCTTGCACCATTACTTTTCCCTTTTCGAGAACTCTAGGGATCTGCTTAAAAGGATATACCATCCAGAGGCATTGTTTTCCATCACTGTAAATCACATAGAATCTCAGACAACTTCTGGATGTCAGAGGTTTGAAATAAAATTTCTCTTAAGTTCAATTCAGTTGTATTTTATTTTTTATTTTTTTTATTGATCAGGATAAATTCTTATATGAAATTCAATCGAAATTTGATCTCGATGTCTGACATCAAGAAAACCTACGATCTGGTGCACTATGGCCCTAATGACATTGTCAACATGATAAAAACATTTCCCAATGTGAGATTCGACCCATTTTCATTCCAAGTCGATGTTCCCATCACTCATTTTGGTGTAAGAATTTATTGATCAATTTAAAACAATATCAGTTTTTAAAAAGATATATTTTTGTAGAAAACCAACATGGTTCAGATAAATGTGTGCGGGATATTTAGAGATCTGGACAGTGAGAGTTCTGCCCTATTTGCATTCGACAGGACATTCCTCTTAACACGTTGGATTGATCAAGAAGAGTGGAAAATAGTGAACGACATGTGGGCGATAACAAATGCGACTTCTACGATGGCAAAAGTATGTATTTTCAATTTCTATTTACTATGAGCGAAAATTCAAATCTAGTATTTCATCCATTTAATATTTTTTTAAATTTCAGTCCAGCTTTAGATACGCAAAAAAGCCGGTGCAGAGCGATTTCGCAATTCTGCTGAATCCAAAAATGAAAGGCAAGGAACAGCTCATGAAAATTTTTGGGAAGTTAACTCATATGAATTCAGCATGGGTACAAAAGTAAGTATTTCGTCTCCTCAAAGGCCCAGAGTACTCACATTTGTCAGTAATGACAGTCCATTTAATGATATTAGGAATTCACATGTTGTGTTTCCTCACCCAATTAATTTAAAATGTTCTATTCAATCTTTTTTTAATTATAATTACAACAGCACTAGAGCATGCAAGCAACTTTGATGTCTTGAGTTAGATTTTGTATTCTAACATTAACAGTAGAGAAATAATAGATTAATTAAACTTTTATTACACCATTATTCACTTTCTTCAGTATTACAGAAATTGCTATTAACGTTTTAGGCATCAGAGAATTGTTGGGAAGGGTTTGGGATGAAGGTTGTTGGACAATAGTCTGGGATTTTATGCAGGCATCTATATTGACTTATTGCGGTTTCCATGACAACTGGGATATAGAGGTCTTTGTGAATAGAAAAATTGGATACGTAGTAGGCAGGTTGGAGAGTTGTAGAAGATTAAAGGAAAGGTGATGCAGCAAAGGGTGAAAGTTATTTGCTGGAAGTCCATTTTGTTGATCCTGAGGGTTCATTACTTGAACCATTTCCAAAACAGGAGAGATGATCCTTGAGGTTTCTGATGGCCACTACTGAGTCTAAGTTGCTGAAAGGATGGCAGTATCAGTTCATGTGAGGAGTCCTGTATTAGGATTGACAGGAATGTCTGCAGTGTATTAGAAAAAGAGTTGGACTAAGGATGTTGCAACACCCGTTTTAGCCTAGTGGATGGGGGAGAAGTACGTCCTTGAGCTTCCAGAGCAAGCTCACATGCCACATTCAATTGAAGGCTCGTAATGCCTAAGAAAGTACCCCCAGCAGCGTTCATTTTCCTTTTATCCAAATTATTCCCAATAAAATTCCATTGGATGTGCTGTGATGCAAACCGAGAACCACTAGTGCGTCAAATATGAATGGAACATCTTCACAACTTGGCTACCATTGTCCCAACACAGTACTTATATTTAATTTACGGTACATATCTTGAAAATCTAAAAAGATATCAAATAGATAACATTTATATGTTAGAATAACAATAGTACACATCTAGCATTACGAACCAATACAATGTGAAATATTCTGCAATATTTTTAGATATAATATAACCAACATTATATTTAAGTAGTGCATTTATTATGTTTCTCAATTTTGTTTTCTAGATTTTTAAGCGAGAGTTCATGGAATATGGAATTAGCATTGTTGGCTTTTACCGATCAGTACAAAGCTAATCAGATACCATCAGAAGCTTTCAATGCTAAAGAAGAGAGTGATTAGTATAAATTTCTTGTATTTTTTCATTACTTTGTATTGTACTATATAGGAAATATAATGTATAAAGAAATAAATAAAAATATGCCCAAATGTTATATTAACATAAAAACATTTTTTACATTTATCACTTTAACATGTTGTATCCTGGAGCCTGAAATGCTGTTGACCCTCTAGGCATCAGGCAATCTTTTCCCCATAAATGACCTTAATACTATTGGGTTGTCCGGAAAATAATGCAGGATTTTGGTATTAAACAAAAAAAAAGAAACTAGTTACTTTAAAGCAATTTTCTTTAATCAAAATAATTTCCCATACTCTCAATACATTTCTCCCAACGTGTTGGTAACTTATTAATTCCGTCTGAGTAGAATTCAGAATTTTTAGAATTGATAAAGTCAATAAATGCATTTTCCAGTTCCGTTTGATTTTTGAATATTATGTGTTGTAAGTAGTGGTCCAGGTGTCTAAAAAAATGGTAGTCAGTAGGCGAGAGGTCCGGAGAGTAGGGTGGGTGAGGCAAAGTTTCATAGCCAAGCTCCAATAATTTTTGTGACGTTACACGTGACACATGTGGTCGAGCGTTGTCATGCAACAAAATGGGCCCTTTCCGATTGACCAAAGAGGGCTTCATTACTGCCAATTTCTGATGCATGGTATTAATTTGGTTACAGTATGATTCAGCATTGATGGTTTCGCCAGGATTTAAGAAGCTGTAGTGTATTAAACCAAATGAAGCCCACCATACCGTAACCATTACCTTTTTTTGATGAGTTGGGGGCTTTGGAAAATGTATTGGAGCTTCTCCTTTGTCGAGCCACTGTCCAGAACGTCTAGTGTTATCGTAGAGAATCCACTTTTCGTCACATGTAACAATTCTGGCCAGAAATGGGTCATTTTTGTTTCGACAAAGAAGTGATGCACAAACATCAAAGCGCTGATTTTTTTGGCGATCGTTTAATGAGTGTGGAACCCAATTTTCGAGTTTTTTCACTTGTCCAATCGCCTTGAGGTGGTCAGCGACGGTCGTTTTACTGACTTTGAGTTGCTCTGCAAGTTCTCGAACAGTTGTTTTGGGGTTTTCTTCCACCACTGATCGCAGAACATCATCATTAAGAGAGGAAGGCCTTCCACGACCTTCTTCATCTTCAAGGCTGAAATCTCCCTCCCGAAATTTTTTAAACCACCTTTGCACAGTGCATTCATTAACACAACCCTCGCCCCAGACTTGGTTAATGTTTCTAGCCGTTTGGGCTCCGCTTCGGCCGAGTTTAAACTCGTAAAAGAAAATCGTACGAAATTCTCGCTTTGACATTATAAGGATGACTGAATTATTTCCAAGTAGCGGAATGCTACAGAGGTAAACAAACAATATCATTTGGAAGAGGATTAATAAGTGTTGACATTCATACAAATGAGTAATCCTGTAAACGTAAACAGAATATTTTATATAGATTTTTTTTAATGAAAACTTAAAATCCTGCATTATTTTCCGGACAACCCAATAATTATAAAAAGTGAGAATGTTTTTTTTTTAAATCTTTTCTCTAAGTTAGCATTTTCGGGTGGAATGCGACGAGACCTAATGCTCAGACACTGTCCAAGTTAAGCAACCCGAACAGCGTATAGTTTTCAATTTTTGTAAAAAGTTTTGGTTTTTAATTATTATTTTACTTTTCAAATTTTCTTTTATAATGCAGCTACGTGGACAATCCGTTTGCTTAGTGGTCATAATTGACCATATTAATTATTCCTTTTATCTAAGGCTTTTAGTTGAGATGAAAAATTAGTGTCATGAGCAGGATTCAAACCCTCGACCTTCGGCTCATGCTGCTCTAACTACTTGAGTAATCATCACACCTTTACTTTGCCCTGATGAGCACGTGTCAACGCCTAAATTGTTGTGGCCACCAATGCCCCAATTCTTAATATTAAAATTAAAATGTGAAAATTTAGCATTTTGCATCCACCTTTCTGCCTTCATAAAAATGAAAACACGTTTATTTATGATACTATCATTATGATAATTATTTTTTATTATAATTATAATAATAATTTTTTTACAGGGGTATTTCAATTACGGGATCACTCCAACTCCTGGGGTTCCAGTGTTAACGCCTAAAACATCTTTCCACCCAATCTAAAAACTATTTTAAAATGTCTGTCTAATCTATAAAACAACTTTTTAATCCTGCCTTAACATTCCATTTCATGGTTTCTTCTTTGCCTAACCTCAGGAACCCAGTTATTTTTATCGACTCACCCCAATAATAAGTAAAAATTACAGTTATCTGGGAAACGTATACATATATGTCTATTTTTTATTTATATATATGATATAATACATATAAAGAGGAAGGACAATTATAGAAAATAGTGAGGATCTTATAACAATTTTTGTTATGCAAAATTAATTTTAAAAAAAGTTTTAACAACTGAAAAAGCAGTAAACTGTTACATAAAATTCTATCCAAAACAAACATTTGACAAATGTTTATAGTACAAGTTGCAATTTACCGCTTTCCCAAATTAAATTAAAAAATTAACTTTTAAACAAAAAAGACTAAATTGAATTTTCTTTTTGTCTATAATAAATATGTCGATTGCTCTGAACGATAGGCTACCAAATCCATTAAAGGTTTGGGTAGGATGTCTGCAAATAGCTGTAGGGCCTTGTCACTGACAATCACATTTAGACAAAGCCTAAAAAATAAATCAAAATAAAATACAATCTAAATAAATATATTAAAGATTCGATTACCTGAACAATGAAATAGGCTGATATGCAAGCACAACGAGTTTTTTATCTTCACAATCCTTTAAAAAAATTAAAACATTTACTTAAACTACTTATTCACACATTTTTGAATGGATTGTAATAACTATCAAGTGTTTTGGTGATTATATCATAGACCTACATAAACATTCAGCTCATAAAATAAGTCCATAGCATTTTTTATACATTTATTTTAATTAATTAAATTCATATAATAATTAAATTTTAAACAAATAAAATGAACCATTTTATTCCACTACATTGTAATTCAATGTATTGTATTTTGTAATTCCACCCTCCAAGAATTTCTCAGATTTTTGAGTGATGAACCTCTTCTTTGATGAGTTTTTTCAAGTCCTCAAATGAAGTAGTTTTTTTTTTCATATTACTAGAGTTTTGCAGAGCCTAAAGGACTAAATGAAAATTTGAAAGAATGTCAAGCGGATACATTGGATGGGGGAGCATATCTCAGCCAAGCTCCAACAATTTTTGGTTCATCTGCAAACACTATGGGGTCAATTGTTCACTTTAAACGCTCTAATTGTGCACAGTATACAGTAGAATTAATGAACTGGATGGGCAGAAGAAGCTTACAATACCGTAACCTCTTCCAATTCCACCAAATGCACTACCTTCTTGGGATGTCATATGACTTTTGGAACAGCTAGCTGTTTTATTGAGGATTTTCTATTTCTCATGGAACATTGTTGTAAAGGAGCCAATTTTCATCACCCTTATTAATGTTTTTAAAAATGAGTCATTTACATTGTGTTTCAAAATGGAGATGGAGATTCAATAAATTCTTCTCAGTGATGAACCCATCACTTCAATAAACATATCCAGTTGCTCTAAGATGCATTGAAATACTTGTATGACATATGTTAAGTGTCTCTGCACTGTCTTGTGTTGAGTGTGAGTTAATTATGACAAAAGCTTGATTTTGGTCATCATCATCGGTTTAAGGAGAGAAATAAAATAATTGAAAAACGCTATGAACTTATTTTACAAATGTATATAATTAACATGCTAATTATACTTTGTATAGACCTCATGATAGTGATTTTAACAATAAAAGCTCAGCACAAAATAATTCCGTTCCAACAAAACAAATCCAAGAGAATAAGACAGAAGAGGGGAGGCAGAAGTCTCCAAAATCAATGTAGAAAAAATAAATATTTTTTAAAAATTTATTTACTTTAATTATTGCTATCTGTATAAAATAATATAATTATATACAAATATGACAGATCTGTTGGACCAGGAGGCAGTGGAGAGAAAAGCCAACCAGTGATGGAACTCTCTTTTATTTCATTCGGTGGGGTAAGATAGAAGGTCACGATGCCATCATTGTTTTAAACGACATGAACAATTGTAAGGGCGAAACTTTGAGGAAAGAGTTAGGGCAGTGGGTAGCATGGAGGGATAGTTTTGAGTGTAAATTGAGGAAATGTGATTGGAACAGATCCTTCACGAATGGGATCTTAATATCTTTATGGATTATTTGATTGGTAACATATAAGGGAGCATTGCAATATTTTACATTTANTATTTATTTATTTATTTTTAATAATCATATTGTCCTTTATCTTTGATTTTTTTTACCTTTTCATTTCTTTCATATGGCGAATCATGAACTCCTCCAACAATGATAACTTCCCCTGTTATTTTGGAATAAGCCGCCTTGTGCCAAATTAAAGGGTTCATCAGTTTGGGTAGAACTTTCCACGATACTTCATTATTTTCGCTGATGGTGCACTCCCACCACTCCACTGAATAACCAATTATAAAAGAACGAGTTTGAAAGTTGTGCCAAAATAAAGAAATTAGTCTTACGAGAAGGAGATCCGTACTGCTTTAAACCTCCATACAATACGGCTTTGTTTGGTGAAACAAAAGAGAAGCTGTGCCAAGAAAGTCCACCTGGCACTTCATTCGACTCTTTTCCAGAATTGAGGCTATTATAAGTTTGAATATTTAATGCATAAGTATATATATTTTTTATTCTGGAGAAAAATTACTTAGAAGACCAAGTAAAAGTTTCCATGTTGATGCAATACAGATCATTGTTCCTAGTATCGCCTTCCCTACCTCCAGAGATAAAAGCAAGATGCCCGATAATGTCGGCAGCATGAGCTGCTCTTGGATTCGGGGGGACACCTTTGACCTAGTAAAAATTCATTTTACTCAAATGAACAATTTAAAACTTTACATAAATTAAAATATACCACCTTTGGGATTGACCAGGCATTTTCCTCAGGATCGTAACAAATGAACTGATTATTCCAGCCCATGAACCCCTGGTTGTTTATGTCAAGGAGAAAAGTGGATTCTATGTTTCTCTGTAGGCTTGATGGCCCTTCACCGTAGCCGCCAAAAAAGTACAGTTTATTCTTGTACTCCCACCCAACACCTTTGTCACATTTTTTCGGTGCTGGACCTGTAGGATTGAGCTGAGTCCAAACGAGAGTTTTCAAATTTAGCCTGTAGAGCCCGTTAGAATACTTGAATTCAGAGTTTTCTCCGAACAAACCTAAAAATAGTAATTTTTCTCAAAATTCTACAACTTTAAAGTATTAAAAATGTCTTACCTCCAAAAAGGTACAAGAAATCGCCACACACCACTCCCGTGCTTCCAGAATGTCCCAGAGGCACATCTCCAGTACACTCTGCGAGGGTCCTATGATATTGAATCTTATTCAGAAAATGTACAGAGAAAAAAAAAATTATGCAAGCAGTACAAAAAACGAGAATCTGTTTAAAAAATTTCCGGGCTTCATCTTTACAGAACCTAATTCTTATGAGTATGACCATATTATCCAGTGGAATACGTCAAAACAGTTTAACAGTGTAGTACATAAATAATATACAATAGTATTCTTACAAAGATAAAGATAGTAGTTTTATTCATTACTTTTTTCAATCCTATCAAAAAAAAAAAAAAAAAAAAAAAAATAAGAACACCCCATTTGTTCAATTGAACAGAATGACCAGTGGTATGCCAATTGAACTCAGCGTCCTGTTGAACATGAACTAAAGAAAATCCAATTTTGAATATAACATTTATATTATTAATATATAACATTTTTGACAGAAAAAGGACTTGAGATAATCCCTCATTTATTTGGTTTCTGTAAAACTGCAAAATTTTGTTAAAGTATTCAAGGTGATCAAAGTAGCTTGATCATTCTTGACCCATCCAAGAGTACTGAAGATGGTAAAGTGACAAAAAGTGTCTACCTGACAAAACCAGTGAAAAATCTCGTTTCAATTGGCAAATAACCAAAAGTCTAATGACTATTGTGTATAGATTGCACCTTGACAAAAAGAACCAATTGGACGCTCTTGGTACTCTTTAGTCTGCGAGCCAGAAAACCACTTAGGATTTTGTTTTGAATAGTGTATTACTTAAAAATACAACTTTCTCTTTTCTAAAGACAGCTAGTTCTCAGTCAGTGCTCAACACTTGACCATCTTGATACAGTGACCACACTGTGAGATGGTTTGCTGGTTTTCCCTCAATTCCTTGACCACAAGAATCATTTTCTTAAGATGGTATCTGACCAGGAAATACCTTCTTGGCAAACCACTAGAATACTGACAATGTCTTTTTTTTTAATCTCACAAAGTATATTACTCAATATGCTCATGTTAAGATAGAACAGATGAGTGCTCTGTTCCCCTTTCACCCTCAAAACATGTTGACTATCTTGAATTCCTTAAGATGGTATACGACCAGGAAATACAACCACCAGGATACTGATGACCTATTTTTTTAAGACGTATAATCTCACAAAGCATATTTCTCTTCATCTTCAATGTTACGATAGAACAGATGAGTGCTTTGTATGCAAAAATAATACCTTTTATAATAAAAATAACATATTTACAATAGCAGCGCCCAAGTACATTTTGGGAATCACTGGTACAGCAGAATGTTTTTTGATTTCTAGTTGAATTTTGGTGATGGATAATTCTGTGCTAGCTTATAGGGCAAAATAAGTCAATTGTACACAGTACTCATTCAGCAGATTTGACCAACCGATGGACAAAGTAAGTAAATTGTACACAGTACTCATTCAGCACACTTAACTAACCAATGGGCAAAACAAGTCAATTGTACATAGTAATCATTCAACAAACCAATGGGTAAAATAAGTCATCATACGTAGTACTCATTCTGCAGACTGAACCAATCGATGGGCTAAATAAATCTATCGTATGCAGCACTCATTCAGCAGACTCAATCAACCGATGGGCAAAATAAGTCATTCATACAGAGTACTCATTCAACCAACCAAAGGCAAAATAAGACAATCGTATCAGTACTCATTCAACCAACCGATGGGCAAAATAAGTCAATTGTACACAGCACTCACTCAGCAGACTCAATCAACCAACTGATGGGCAAAATAAGTCATTCGTACACAGTACTCATTCAACCCACCAATGGCCAAAATAACACAATTGTACACAGTACTCACTCAACAGACTCTGTGAGGATCACATGTGATCCTGGTGGGAGTATTCCCCACCAAGGACCGGCCCAAGAGGCAGTTAGAAAATAAACTCTGGGGAGAGCGAGATAGAGAGTGGTTGTTCCTTCTAATTGTTTTTCCTATCAAGAGCCAAATTCTTTTGTAAGTTTCCTTTTTATTTTGTTATTATTTCATACTCAAAGTATTAAGAGAGAAAACGTTATTTTAAGTTTAAGTTGTTTATCTAAAAGTAAAATATAATTTATTTATTTATATATTTTATTCGATTGGATCTCATATAATTCCATTCGTTCCTTTCCTCACAACTCAATCAACCGATGGGCAAATTAAGTCATTCGTACACAGAACTCATTCAACCAACCAATGGCCAAAATAACTCAATTGTACACAGTACTCACTCAGCAGACCCAATTAACCAATGGGCAAAATAAGTCATTCGTACACAGTACTCATTCAACCCACCAATGGCCAAAATAACACAATTGTACACAGTACTCACTCAGCAGACTCTATCAACCGATGGGCAAAAAGTCTTTCGTTCACAGTACTCATTCAACCAACCAATGGGCAAAATAAGTCAATCATATCAGTACTCATTCAACCAACCAATGGCCAAAATAATACAATTGTACACAGTACTCACTCAGCAGACCCAATTAACCAATGGGAAAAATAAGTCATTCGTACACAGTACTCATTCAACCAACCAATGGCCAAAATAACACAATTGTACACAGTACTCACTCAGCAGACCCAATCAACCGATGGGCAAAATAAGTCATTCGTTCACAGTACTAATTCAACCAACCAATGGGCAAAATAAGTCAATTGTAAGCGAAATGAACCGCTTACCACAATTCTGTGAGAGTGTTGTAAAACCATATCTGCTCTGCGAGGATGGTCTTGTCGTTGCGAAAGTTGGTCTGGTACCTCTGGAACTTGAACAGTCTCAACTATGATGGAACAGGCGAGGCATTTTTGACCTTTTCTTGCTTACCAGGACCCCGCCCCAGACGACGATTAGGTGTTTGTAGGCGACAGTGACGTGTCCGACCCTTTTGTGCAACTCCTGGATCTCCTCCCGACCAAAATTCATCGCCGATGGATTTCCACTTTCACATCCGGGCTGGAAGGTAAATCGACAAAGATCGAAAAAGGGGTGTTCACTTAAGAAGAACCTCAACTTTGTGGTTGTCAAAGTTATAATCAGTGTAACCAGAAGGTTAATACTGCTGTCATGACAAGAATGACAATCTGACCTTGAAGATCATCCCTCAGCTCTCTAGACATTGAAATTTGAAACAAGACGTTGAAAAACCAGTCCTTACAAAAACCAACCCTCACAAAAAAAACTTTCTGGAATCAATACTTACTTTTTCTAAAACTTTTGAAAAATCTTTTTGGAGAACATTTTTAAAATTTCTTACAAGTTCACGTTGACGTAAAATGTAAGTTGGACGATGAAAAGTATTACAGAATTCCTGAAAGGCAAGTACTAAACTTCTTTATATTTTATTACTTGTATATGCACAATTAAAAACCTATAAACTTCATTTTCTATTAAGCATATTTGCTTGTCAAAGTTTTTCCTCTGTGAAATTTGCGAAATGAAAAAAAAACGCTAATTCGTTTCATCTTGAGTTTGGACAATTAATTATTAGGATTAACAATATAATTAATTTTTAATTAAATCAGTTTTACAACAACTTTATATCCTCTTTCTAACAAATAAAGTACATTTTTAATATAATTCTCAATTTTTAAAAATCTAAATAAATTTTTTAATATATTTAAACAATAAATGAAAAAGGATTTGATTATAATTAATGTACACCATAATGCAATTATTGTTAATAATTTTTTTGTTAAACATTTTTTGCATTGTTAATTAAAAAAATGTTCGTTTTGGATATGTCTAGCAAAACAGCCCAAAAATGAATAGGGATATTGCCAATTTTGTAGTATTTATTTCCTTAGCATTTTTTAGTATAAATTGCATTAAAATTTAATTAAGATATTTTGAAAAATAACGAAATAAAAGGTTTTAATCCTATAATTTTTGTTTATGGGACACAATAATTTTTTTAAACCATTAACACCGTTTAATGCCCTCTGTTAGCTAAAACCTCACCTGTTAGGCATACTGTCAAAAATGTTGTCACTAACATTTGTCATAAGGAATTTCACTCCATAGATGTTGCTATGCTGCACCCAGTTGTTGCAGGTCAACTGGCTGCAGATGGTGATCAAAAAGCTTTTTCTGCAATGCATCCTACATGTGTTATTTGGATTAACTGGAGAAAATGAGGTTGGGGTAGATGGTAAATTTACAATATTCCAAACATTGATGGACAACTCTGCCTCTATGAGGTCTGCTATTGTCATCTAGAAATCGAAAACCCCTACCAGATGATATACCCGGTTTGAGGGATGTATTCCTCGATAATTACTTGGACATAATGGACTGAGGTGAGGTTGCCTTCAATATACAAAGTCCAATTTGTCCTCCAGTGTAAATCCCAGCCCAGAGCGTAACACCACCTCCTCCAAACTACACTGAAGGGAGCATTATATGTTGTAAAATTACTGTTTATAAAATTACATAATTTGACAACTAATTGATTAATTATGTAAAGTTATCAATACACTTTCAGTTTGAAGATGTTATTATCAGTTGACCAAAGATAAATGTAAAAAAAGTTCAGGCCCTGCTAATAAAATACTTCATCTTTTTAAACTATGCATTAGCTCAAACGTAGACAAATGTTTAATGACTCATTTGCACTAGACACTTTTTCTGTTCAGTTTGTTCATCTAAGTAAGAAAGTAAGAAAAACTGGATTAAATTGTAAAATTTCTTGGCTATATGGCCAGTCACTGAAATAGACTTAAAAATTATATTTTTTCCAAATAAGTCTTTAAAGATTTCTGATGGGGGTTCACAACAGCAGAGGTCATATCAACTCTAAGGTTCTGGTCAGCAATGTTTTTTTAACCTTATTTGGAAGTACTTTAGTTTAAGATTCAAGCCCAGGTCCCTTGCAGTGATGAGTCCCCCTATTATTTGGACTATTATTTTGAAAATATTATTGGGAGCATCAATCTGCCTATTCTTTAATTTGTAAATAAAGCAAAATGTATTTTAATCCTTTAATGGTACTACATTGTTTCAAAAGCAGTATGCATTTCATTTTCGTTTAAGCATTTATATAATTTATTCAAAACATACCTAACTAAATTTATATTATAAATATAAAAATTAAAACAATAAATAGTTGTTCATAATAAACGTTTGTATTTAAAATATTTCTTCATATTGGAAATCGTCCATAGAGAATTGAAAAGAACTTGAATTTGGGTTATATGGTCGGAGCAAGTAGGTCCAAGTGCTTCTGTGCATCGGCCAGCTTTTTAGCCAGCCTATCTCGCCTCCACTTGGATATGCGAATCCTCCATTCTTTGGTTTTGTAGCCAAGCAAGAAGCCAACGAAGAAAGTTAGCAAAATAGAAGTCCTAAATACATTTTGCTCCACCATTTTCTCTAGACTAGGCCGTGTCTACCAAACATAGAACGGTGTGGGTATCATAATCTGCGAGAAATAAAGACAATCGTAAATAAAATTAAGAATGTTGAATAGATTTATTAAGAAGAAACGAATATGAAAAAAGAATAACCTATGCGATATCTTACCTCTTGGCTCTTGCACGTGCTGCTCCTACTACTCAGTAATCCAGTAGAAGATAATAAGATAGCGACATCTAAGGGAATCTAAACTACTTTGAATCAAAGGATTTTCAACTTAAGTGTTCAACACTTCTTTTTTAACAAAAGAACAAAAATTGATCGATAAAATGGAGGAGATAGCATAGTTTCTACTATGTCCTTAGCACAAATATACTGTTGTCACTATTAAATCCTTACTTTCTCTATTCACTAATGTAAACTTTCTTTTTATTACATTTCCTATTATAAACGATGATTACCGAAACCATCAGGTTCTGAAATTTTATTGGTCAAAATGGGAAATAGGCATCCGAAGACGTTTGTTCGTATCGGGTTGTCCGGAAAATAATGCAGGATTTTAAGTTTTCATTAAAAAAAAATCTATATAAAATATTCTGTTTACGTTTACAGGATTACTCATTTGTATGAATGTCAACACTTATTAATCCTCTTCCAAATGATATTGTTTGTTTACCTCTGTAGCATTCCGCTACTTGGAAATAATTCAGTCATCCTTATAATGTCAAAGCGAGAATTTCGTACGATTTTCTTTTACGAGTTTAAACTCGGCCGAAGCGGAGCCCAAACGGCTAGAAACATTAACCAAGTCTGGGGCGAGGGTTGTGTTAATGAGTGCACTGTGCAAAGGTGGTTTAAAAAATTTCGGGAGGGAGATTTCAGCCTTGAAGATGAAGAAGGTCGTGGAAGGCCTTCCTCTCTTAATGATGATGTTCTGCGATCAGTGGTGGAAGAAAACCCCAAAACAACTGTTCGAGAACTTGCAGAGCAACTCAAAGTCAGTAAAACGACCGTCGCTGACCACCTCAAGGCGATTGGAAAAGTGAAAAAACTCGAAAATTGGGTTCCACACTCATTAAACGATCGCCAAAAAAATCAGCGCTTTGATGTTTGTGCATCACTTCTTTGTCGAAACAAAAATGACCCATTTCTGGCCAGAATTGTTACATGTGACGAAAAGTGGATTCTCTACGATAACACTAGACGTTCTGGACAGTGGCTCGACAAAGGAGAAGCTCCAATACATTTTCCAAAGCCCCCAACTCATCAAAAAAAGGTAATGGTTACGGTATGGTGGGCTTCATTTGGTTTAATACACTACAGCTTCTTAAATCCTGGCGAAACCATCAATGCTGAATCATACTGTAACCAAATTAATACCATGCATCAGAAATTGGCAGTAATGAAGCCCTCTTTGGTCAATCGGAATGGGCCCATTTTGTTGCATGACAACGCTCGACCACATGTGTCACGTGTAACGTCACAAAAATTATTGGAGCTTGGCTATGAAACTTTGCCTCACCCACCCTACTCTCCGGACCTCTCGCCTACTGACTACCATTTTTTTAGACACCTGGACCACTACTTACAACACATAATATTCAAAAATCAAACGGAACTGGAAAATGCATTTATTGACTTTATCAATTCTAAAAATTCTGAATTCTACTCAGACGGAATTAATAAGTTACCAACACGTTGGGAGAAATGTATTGAGAGTATGGGAAATTATTTTGATTAAAGAACATTGCTTTAAAGTAACTAGTTTCTTTTTTTTTGTTTAATACCAAAATCCTGCATTATTTTCCGGACAACCCAATAGAATGTGTATAGATGTTGTATTTAAGGAAGGGGTTTTGTGACATGAGACTTCAAGTCAAGTCTCTATCAGGTCATTAGGCCACTTTTCAATGGTTGTTGATGCTGAAATTCATCGAAAGTATAAGCCAGGATTTGTATAAAATGAACGCGCGTTGAACTGACACTGAGTCATTTATTGGATCCGTCTAAAGGTCCTCCCTCACTGAAGATGGCTCAAAACCGAAACGGGTTTGAATAGCATCAAAACCCCACGAGTTTATAGACCCAATAAATCACCCAGTGCCGGTTGAACAGGATTTGTATGCTTCTTTTCAAGGGAAAATTGTGAGATGTTTGGTTTTGGCTGTTAGTTTGGTAATTTTCGGTCAGTACAGTTTGGCAGGAAACCAAAGTACTTTTTTCTCCCAACCACCAGGTTATTTGAACCCTCAGGGTGGCGGTGTTTTGTAATAAAAGCCCGAGAAAATTTTTAAGAAGTTAATAGAGTAGAGTAAGAAACTAAAATCAACTGAACGACCTACTTTATTAATTTCTTACTTTTTTATAAGTACGACCTTTTCAATTGTCTTATAAAGGCCTAATAGTCAAAATGCAAAGAATTTGGTTTAAAAAAACTACCCGAAAATAATATAAATCATATAAATAAATGTTATATCAAATGACATTCTCAAAGAGTAACTTGGATAAAAATCTGTTCGATCTTTTTCTTGAATTGTCCTCTAAAAAAGAAAAAACAACGAAACCATAATATAAAATAAAAATGCATCATCGAGTATAAAATAATAAAAACAAAAATCATGTTTATAATCGCTCTACATAAATAACGACGATAACAACATAAATAATGACGTGACAAATGGATCACCATCGCAATTATTTCTAAAAGGAACGGTCTCGTTTTATGTTTTATCATTTGTTTAAAATCAAATAGAATTTATGCACTATACATTTACCATCTTGGAAGAATTCGAATAAAGAAAGGACAAAAAAAACTTTTTTTCCAGCAGATAACTAATACTGATTTAGATAGATCTTAACAAATTCACTTGGTTGTTATCAGCGGTGTAGTCAAATAAAATATTTTTGATTTTACATTTTCGCCTAGCTTTCGGAACTTTACTGTACTTCCTTCAGGGCTCTACAAAATGAATAATATATCCTTTTGTAGAGCCCTGAAGAAGGGACAATAAAGTTCCGAAAGCTAGGCGAAGATTTAAAATTAAAAATATTTTATTTGACCACATCCCTGATAACAACCAAGAGAACATTATCTGCATAAGTTGGTCGATAAATCTACAAAACATAACAAATTCAACAACTTGAGAACGTAGTTCAATATTTTTTGTTTAAAACAATCAGTTCCTTCGTCAATCTTTCGAGAATGTATCCCTTCAACAGGATTTTGAAACTATTATTTATAATTTACAAGATTAACAGGCATAAACATTTATCTACAATACAGAAACTTAGGGGTTCAAACGTAATGAATTTACGATTTGACAGTAGGAACGAGGTTCATTCTATATCGGAATTCTATATTGCTTTTGCACGACGCTTAAACTGAGTGTTTTTCTTCCCTAATTCCATTACTACAAATTTATATTTGTTTGTATAAGATAATATACATATAATATATCAATAATAAAATGAAACCATAAATCATTACTATTCTTATTAATATATAATAATTAATTACTGTTAATATATAATTTTTATATATTATTAATTATATTAATAATAAAATAATGATAATATATATTATAATATGCATATAATATATTTAAATTTATAACGAGACAATTTCTCTTCATCCTTCGGCTGCATAGATGGTTGGAATAATTTACATGTAATGAACCTGTTGTTTTTCTTAATGTTTCTTCTGATTATTTTGATTTTCAATCAGTCATCTATTTTTTACGAGGGTTCCCAACAGGAGTCGGTGCTTTTGGAAAACAAACCCATCTGTAAGTATGACGGGTTTGAGTGCAGGGCCGCTGGATTCGAATCTGGGACGCTTACAGTCATGAGTGCCTTGTCAACGCCTAAACCGTTGCGGCCACCGACGCCCCCAAAGTACTACTTTAAAAAGTTGATCCGCATAAGTTAATTTGGAGAAGAACCATTTCAAGGGATGGTGGTTCAACATAAATAAGTAGTTATTCGAAGTCCAAGTGGTTCGAAGGTCAGGTTCAGGAAAAAGCTCACAGTTACTGTTTGCCTGAACTACGAGTGTTTTGCACTTTCAACTCGTTACAAATCATAGGCTCTGAACTTTATACTCATCAGCTGAAATAAAATTCAAAATTTTAAAAAGAAAAAATGTCTCTTTGGAAACTCCTTAATTTAGTTGGTGAAAATTCGGTCGTGGTCTCACCCTGGTTATAACCGTTTTATAGCAATTAGAAAAAAATAAAATGGAAAGTGAAAATGGTCTTTTTCTTGTACGAAAGATAGCGTACAGGGAGAATATCGTGAAATGTACAATCTTTTAATACATATATATCATTTTAGAAAAACCGTATTTAACATTAAATCAAAATGAAAACTTCAAAAATTATTACCAAAACGACAAAATTCCAACTGTTTTAAGAGGAAAAAAATATGGAACCAATACGAACTAAAATATTGTTCCTTTCGCAACTTTTTTCACTCTCGTGCCAAAACCCCGTCATCAAACAGCATATTGCAAAAACCCCTAATGGAAAACTTGTCCATTGATTTTCGCTCCTAGCCTTCTCAATCGCCAAGCCTTTAGCATTTAAGGGACATTATTATCTTCTTATTCAAAGGATGAAGATTGTGCTCAGATTGAATTTTTGTTATCGTTATCAAGAGTGGCATTTGGCCTATCTAGGCTCACTGTGTGTTAAAGCATCTCTGCCCTTCGTCGAGCTTAATGTTCATGTCAAATTCATTATAGATGGCAGACTATAACATTTAAAAATATTATTTACTGAACTAAGTCGCTAGATCACAACTTTCGATTTCTGGAGAAATTAAGCTTAATCACGTTTTAATTTTTGAGTCATTCAAATACCTCTATTTTCATCCAATTCTCTACTTTTATTTTATTTCATTTTTTGCTTGAGGCACAATAAGTTACATAGATAACTTAGATACATTGTAGCATAACAATAAATCAAGTGGAAAAAGTTATCCAGTGATAGCACTCCTAGATCATTGATATAATTATAATTACCCTCATTCTCTGCACACTGAGATACGGTCATAGGCGACTTTTTTTAGAATTCAGAAAGGATTATTGAGAAACGATCGGGAGGAAAGTTGTGTGGTTTAGACTGAGATTGGAGGTTAGTGTGGAATTTTTTGTAGCTGGATCTTGCAACTTCTTTTGTAATGGGAACATTTATATCATTATGGATGGCGCGGTTGGAAACATAGAAACAATAATTCGTGGCAGGGTCTGGATTCTGTGAAGGTTGGAAAGCTTGGTTGAATACCATAGATCTATGCCATTACTGATTTCCAGTATTGAGTCGTAGGTTTTTATTGTCACGGAAGAATTTAGATCTGTTGTCTATTTACAAGTATGGGGATTCTAGGTCAGTCACTTGATACAGGCCAGGTAGCGGTCACTCGGTGAACTCAGGTTAAGTGAACCCAACCAACGCTCATTATTTAGGGGGCAAGCAGGGAGTTCTCGGGTTGGGAAAGCGTATATAAGACCTTGGGCAGTGTGGTTAGGGTGGATCGAAAGCTTGGTGTGGACCTTTTGGTAGTGAGATCAGATCAGTTCGTTGATAATAGGAATGTTGAAGTCGATGTCGATAGTGAGGTTAGTGACTTAATAAGGCAATTTGACAGTTTGTCTGAGGACTTTTGATGGGAAGGATTGGATGTCTTGGCAGAACACCACAGTTTTACTCTGTTTGTCCAGAGATCTCAATAAAATCTAGTAAATAGTTGAGTTTTGGCGTCAAAACTTATTTCGGTCCTAAAAGTTTGTAGTTTTCCACGTCTTTTGTCAAGCTGTCCAGCTAGGGTTAGTAGGGCTTAATAATAGCCCTATGAATCTGAGTGGAGTGGAAGTCGGCAGTTCCTTGTTGTTGTTCAGTGGAGGGCAAAACTATTTTTTCAATGCCAATATTCACTGGAAACATTTTACATCATTCAGTCTTCCTCCATTTTTGGTACCAGTCTTTGATAAAATCAAGGTGTTCTTGGATGTTGGAGGTTGCTTGGATAAGTTTCAGGTTAAAAGACAGGTTTACGATGTCATCCGCATAAGTGGTAATGATGATTTTGGGAGGTACGTGGAAGTCAGCAGTATAAACAATATACAGGATGGGACCAAGTATCTTAAGTTGTCGTCTCTTAAGTTTCAAAGCCCTGATGATGGAGTTCCTCGGACGCTCGATTAAGGAACTGAACGTTTTCTTTCTAATTGGCTTCATCCCTTATCGTTTTTCTAATATATAATTTGATTTAAATTCCAAATTCACGTACAGCTTACATTATGCAAATAAAAAGCTCCAGGTTGTTCAAATCGCTCCTTTGCATAAGTCGAACGCGTTCACGTTTTATAAGTTGTTACTTGGAAGTTGGAATCGTGAGGTCTTTTATATGATAGGAGTACTTGGAGATAGTGTCTTGATGCTATGCTTTCATCATTTTGACTCCAATTACAATTTCCCGAATAGAGATCGTCTCACCGGTAGTAACAATTTTTTAACTCCGACCCTTCTTGAATATCAATCCGAAGCTTTTTCAAACAAACTGAAGGTCGGAATCAGCCAAGTCATTATGAACAAATTTCTGAAAGTAGAAACTTTTTAAACATGAAAATATTATTAACAAATTTTCTTTATGTGTGTACATGTGTATGAGTGAGGTATGTGTTAAACCTTTGTCATTGTTTATTTAAAAATTAATTAATTTGTTAGGATTTAAATTTGCTAATGTTGTAAACATGTTAATCTGATCGACATTGATCATTTGTCTAGACCTTTTCTCGCTAGTTTTCGTTTAACCCAAATGCATGTCAGCTGCACCATCTTCAGTGAGGAACTGTTGAAATTTGTTATAATTTTTTTTTTTTTCAATATTGACCTTTTTGGATATTGACAAATGAGCATATCATTGTTATTATGAACAAATTTAATTAGTAACTTACTTAGTTTTGCTAACAAAAATCTGAATTATCAAGACCTATCAGTGGAAGTAGCATTATTACTATAAAAATGAGCCAAATAGGCAAATATTTCTCAAGTATTTGTTATGCGAAATGAGTTTTAAAGTATCCCAGCGCAGGAAATTTGATTATTTAGAGAATGACAGCTTTCGTACGAATTACTATTCGGGCAAAGTAGTTATCATTTATTTATTGGGGTCTGAAGGACCTAATGTTTCCTGAAGTTTCGAAGGTGTGTCCTGTCCTTAAGGAAGCCGGCGTCTAGAAATGTAATTGAAGGAAACAAAAAGCACCCATTATCTTCTTAACTTTTATAATTGCATTTTTTCTTTTGATTAATTTTTATGTACGTTTTCAAACTTCTTTTTGAGCTAATAAAAGCCAGTATGAATAAATCTCATTAAGATTGAGCACAAATATTTAGATTTTTCACGATAATAGTGTGGTTTGGTTTTGTAAATTGTACTGTTATAACTTAGTTTTATTCAAATTCATCAGTGTATTACGATAAAAATTGACCAGGCAGATTTATGGATTACATTGTCTTAACGAATTTTTATTAGAAATGGATTTTCAAGATTGTCAGGTCAGAAATTTCGATTTTTTAAGGAGTATCTATGGTATTTATTACTATTTTGGTAAAGGAAGTATTTTGCTGGGCTAGGAAGGACTTTCTGTTCCCTGAGGTTTTAAAGGTGTGCCGTGTCCTTAAGTAAGCCGGCCACTAGAAATATGATTTAAGGAAACAAAATGCAGACATTATCGATGTTAATGGCAAGAATGGGGAAGGTCCCGAAGGTCGGATGGTGGCTAGAAAGCGTGCGGTGAAGATGTGTTTATTAAAATAGGTGGAAGACTGGCGAGAGGGGGGCCGGGGGTGGGCGTTTGGGACTGGTTCTGCACAGTCTCCCTGAGTATTGATCCCCATCCCCATCCCCATCCTCATTCCCGTCCCCGTCCATTCCCTCGTAAGGCTCAGTCCTACGGGAACACCCCGAGAGCTTCCCCGCGATTCTCTCTTATATCGGCCCCTTCCCACCGCTCACCAGATGACACCGCTTCCGACGAGCAGACGAT